CTATTAGCTGTAATCCGTTGCAATGGGATACTTCTTCTGCGAGCAGCGTTGCAAGCAAAAAGTATTAAAATTTTATGTTTTACACTTGCATTATGAAAAGCATCGTTATTGGGCATTTTAACGGACATTTTCCGAAGTAACGAAGGACAAGTCGTAAATGAATATGGAAACAAAAAGTCTCAAAACGCTTCGGGTCATATAGATGCTTCCATAGTATAGCTTTTGGAACACTATTTCATTGATTATTGCTTTTTCTTTACAAAACCTTTCCTTTAATAATCGGTTGCTCCTTAAAGTTATTCCAATATTTGTCAAGGAAAGGTTGAAACCGAAAAATATTATTTTTGGTAAGCGTTCAGAAATATCAATGCCCTTATCTCACTTTTATGAAATCATTTTGAGCCCTTTCTGTTTGAAGTAGACTTTGAATTAATCAGTACATCATCACCCCTTGTATTCTCCATTAATACTAGATTTGCCTGAATCTCGATTTTGTGCTAAACATGTACCTAACATATAATTAACTTCACCGCCCTCGATCAGCTTCTATATTTCGACAATCTTGACGTCACAAGATTTGCAAGAACTCATCAATAACAGAGATCGATTTTTATTATCCGCATTTTATCAGCGATAATCGTCCCTAAACGGGGATCATAAATCACGGTTCGGTGGTGAACTTCTAAATATGGGCATTTCTCCAAATGCAACGTCATGACTTTCGCAAGCTCTTTCTGTTGTTCGCACTATAAAATCGCGAGTGGTTGGGTACACGTCTGGTCTGACACTATGGATAGAACTATTGACCGTTCTCCTACAAATGAGTAAGACTTTTAAATTACCTCAGTAGCTTCACAAGAAAGTTCCTCACACTTTCATAAACTCACTTTTACGTGCTTGCCTCATATTGCATGTGACTTCTAATTTCAGTTTGAAAACAACCTTGTTGGTACATCAAACGCTGGAATCTTCAGGTTCAAGACAATGAAATAAAAAGTTGGTTTAGTATTTGATTGGTGAAAAAAGTGGTGAATTCCTGCATGATAGCAATGTAATGCAGGTTGTTTTTTGACTGAAAACTTTCAGCAAGCAAGGGTAGGGGAGGAGGGGTAGCTTTATACGTAAAAAGCGGCTTGAAATACTCAAGGGTAAATGTAGAAATTAACTGTGCAGAAAACATAGGTATAGAATACAAAATAGGTGGAAAGACTCGTTCGCCTCCTGAGAGTGTCACTTATTCTTTTCTCGGTTTTGTCAGTCTCAAATATGATTATTTATTATTGATAGGAGATCTAAATACAGTGAAAGCTCCCATAAGCGGACACTCACGGTTCCGTAACTTTTGTCCGCTTATGGGAGGTGTCCGTTTAAAAGAGAGTATGTAAGTATAGAGTATAAATAACGGGGTATATAATCATGAGGAAATGAGGTATTATAATCATGAGAAAAATGAAACAGAAACTCGCCACATTTTTAAAGTATGTATTTATGCTATATATCTATATAATATATGTACATATACGCATACAAAAACATAAATGCTTCAATACATGGTACGAGAATTTAAAAAAAACATTATTCTTTAGCTTGTTGAAAAAAGTTTAAAATGTTTGTCTGACGAAATTTCACCATCTTTTGCTGAAGGAGACAATTTTCGTAATGACTTTCTAAATTTTTCAAATGTTGAAATGCAGTGAAATCATCTTTAGCAAATTTTTTCAATATAGAAATATGATTTAGAGCTTCCCCATATGAATTTATCGTTTTTGAACCGCTTAGTGAGTCCACCAGTTCCACTTCTTCTTCTGAGTCGTTTGGACTACCATATTCAAGTTGGCCTGGGCTTTCTACATCCAAATTCGGAAAGTTGCCAATGGCATTTTCTTCTGTTGTTATGTTATTGTCTATGGCCAGGAAATCATCTACTTTCTGGGGATCTGCTACTCCTAAATGTTTGGCATGTCGCAGTAACTGAGCAAGTGTCGCTAAGGGCAGATCGTCTTCAGCATCGCAATAATTTTGCTCAGCAAATTCTGAGCTACATTCACTTTTTCTGAATCCAGCTTTGCCAAAACAGTTTTTAATTGTAGAGGAATTTACTTTATTCCATGCTGTTTTTATAAAATACAAAGCTTCTAACACATTGATAGACTTTGTAAGCTCAGATAAGCTTTGACCATCGTCAATTTTTGTTGAAATATGTTTTAAAATCAAGTGCCGATAATAAAATTTAAAGTTCTGTATGACACCTTGATCCATGGGCTGACAAACAGAAGTTGTGTTTGGCGGTAAAAATATAATTTTCACATTTTTCATTTTCATATCACGAGGATGAGAGCATGCATTGTCTAAAAATAAAAGAACTTGCCTTTTTTGGATTCTCATTTTCCGGTCGAATTCGACTAACCACTCAGACATGATTTCTCGGGTCATCCATGCCTTTTTGTTGGATTTCCAAGTCGCTGGTAGATCCTTAATAGCAACGTTTTTTAAAGCACGGGGACGAGCCGCTTTCCCGATCACAATCAAATCGCATTTTTCACCGGCCATATTTGCACAGAATAAAATGGTTAGTCTATCTTTAGACAACTTTCCACCCACACATGTTTCTCCTTTAAAGGACAGAGTTTTGTCGGGCAATGCGCGAAAAAAAAGTCCACTCTCATCTGCGTTGTACACATCTTCTGGTTGGTAGCCAAGCAACATGGACGGAAGTTTCTCCAAAAATTGTGACACATCAACTTGATCTACTGCAGCAGCTTCGCCAGATATGCATTTGAAACTCACACTATGTCTCTTGCGCCACTTTTGCAGCCACCCGTCGGACGCACTGAAATTATTATAGCCCAAAGTAGTGGCGATTTCTTTAGCTTTCATTTTCACTAACGGCCCTGAGATTGGAATGTTCTGACTTCTAGCTTTCACAAACCACTCAAAACATGTTTTGTCTATAGCAAAACCTTCCTTTTTTAAAAAATCCTTCTTTTGATTTATATTAGTTCCTGATTGCCATTTACTCCTGATATCTTCCTTATTTTTGGCAATTTCAGCTGCTTGCGTTTTCCCAATATTAAACCTCTTTGCCAAATGACGAACTGAAACACTTTCTCTGTCTAATACGTTAACAACTTCCATCTTTTCCTTTAACGAGAGCATCCTTTTTTTTGTGCCATTTTACAGTTACAATAATAAAATACGTAACTCAATCAACTACGAATTTGCCTGAACTGAAGACAAGCCACAAGATTACATACAGGCTACCCAACGAAATGCGTAAATGGGGAATCACCTAATATAAATTGGGGAATTACCGAATTTTATGTATGTAGATATGTGCATTGCAATAAGCGGAACTAAAAAATCGTCCGGGTATTAGAGTTTCGCGTCCGCTTATGGGAGATTTTTGATCACATACAGGAAAATCTAGTGTCCGCGTCCGTTTATAAGAGCGTCCGTTTATCGGAATGCATTTAACATTGAAAATTGATGGCTGAAATTCGGTTCCAGGAACTTTGTCCGGTTAAAAGAGATGTCCGCTTATAGGGGCTGTCCGCAAGGAGAGCTTTCACTGTATTAACATTTTAAATAATTCGGCATACACAAATCGCCTCAAAAATATAATTCACAGTTTTAACTTACCACACAGGATCAGTGAGCCAACAAGATTCAATTTTTCAACAAGAGAGGCTAGCCTCATTGATATAATCTGTGCTAGTGAGGATCTTATCTCTATTGATTCTAAATCATTGGCGGTTTCTCAAAATCTCTCAGATCATAATTGAATTTACTCAGCCTTTCGAAAATATGGGAACAGTGACTTAGAGGAAACACAGAAGCTTACTTTGTGCCCTATTTTCAACAACCCATACTTGTCACTACTTTAATGCGGTTTTTCCTCTACCACTTTCCTCTACAACTTGGGTCTATCTGAAGATAATGACCATTTTTACCTTCCAGAGTCAATATTTCGCGTAAAAATTGAGGATGTGCTCGAACAGTAGTACAACCAGATGTAATTTTTTCGTTAAACAGAAATGAGGCCTTTGGCACATAAAGGTGGGTTTTCACGAATGACTATTAAATGGTTATGATTCAAGATGTACTACAATTTGCTATCGCATTTTAACAACGTTGTTACTGTGTAATGTGCAGGTTTTACGTCGTTGTTATTTTGATCACATAATAAACCTCAAGTAGCTGTTGAGGTATTATGAAGCATATGGTTATTAATTCTTAATACTTTGTTGGGTCATGGTTAAATTAAAAGTATTACATATAATGCTCTCTATTTGTTTTGATGGTGTCAGCAAAGTGCGTTGTAAAATGATGATGATGGACTACCTTACCATGCTGTGTAGCCTAGAGGCATTAAAAGTGATATTGTATTTCTAAGCCTTGTGTATGACATAAATAGTACAATATTAGTCAAAATCTTGTTATAGAGAAATCGTGTTTCATCAGTTTACCTGCAAATAAAAAATATAAAACTAAATAAAATCGCTCAGGACTTTGTTAGTTGGTTGATAAGATGCCAGAATGTAGGAAAGAATAGGCTACACGTGCCGACGGATTTACTAAAATGTTATATTATTATTCCATTATCATCGTAAAATTGCAGTCTAAAGCTCATTAGTTCAGTAAAACATACTTTTCGATTCTGTTCTCATCGTTTACTGCGTCCGTATTCCCGGTATAAATTCTCTCAATTTAATGTTTTTGTATGACTTGTTAGAAAAAAGGTTATATACAAAAGCTGTAGGGTCTAATAAGAGGTCTTTTTTGTTTGAAAAGGTTCTATCGAATAATGTTATAGCTTTTCAGAGCAACACACTGCATATTTTTTTCTGATTCCAAATATGGTACGAGTACATATGGGCGGGTATGGAGACCGCAGGAGCATTTTTCCCCGAAAGATTACAGGGAAAACAAAAATAGCATAGTACAAAGAACTCGGCGATTTCTCGCGTAGCTTGTACTAAATGGTTCCTAATTTATTTCAGAGCTTCTTTGAAGCACCTATCAACCTCCACGCCAGTAATGACGGCTCAAGCTCAACTTTCGGAACCACCGAGCCCCAAACCCGTCAAGGAGGCTAAGGTGCACACAACTTCCAAAGCCAGGCAGAAGAAGTTCCTCCGACACTTTCCAAATGTGGAAGAGGATGAAAAAGTGCTCAATCACTACTCTTGTGCGCTCATCGGCGACATTTTGCTCCAGGGGCATCTGTATATCACAAAGAACTATTTTGCCTTCTATTCAAACGTCTTCGGATATGTTACCAAGGTAAGATATAGCTGGGCAATTTACGTGTAATTTACAAAATCGGATATTAGTCTGTCTTGAATAACATGTAGAAGACTGTATAATAAAATAAGCACCAGTGGCGTATACATATAAGGGGGTAGGGGGGGTCCTGGGAATCTATAGAACGGTAATAATGTTCATCATGTTCTAGGAGAATTTAAAATTCTTTGGGTGATTTTTTTATTTATCCATCCCAAAATTTGCAAAGCAGTAGGTAATTCGCAGGTTTCAAGTTTGGAAATTGGAATGCTTTGTAACTGAAGGCAAGAAAATGTAGCGCAGACCCAGAAACACCGTTACATCTTCATTCTTACTTTGCAGTTAGGTATTGACATGTGTGACAAATTGTGTATGATTTTTTAAAACACCCTGATCGTAGCCTTAGATATTTAAAGCTTCAGTAGTCATTTCGTATAGTATGGAGAGGTATAATTATTTATTTTCTGATGAGTCACATAATATATGGAAAGGAACGTTACTTTGATCTTGAAAATGGGAAAATTAGTTTTCCGTTTTTTTCCAATAAGATACATGTTTATTTTTTTTCAACTTCTATTTTTTTCCGTGAAATATAGGGTTCTGTCCGCTGAAAGAGTAAATGTTTACGTAATTTTTGCGGAAAAGCACGCTTATGCTATTTGGAGCTGTAAGGAGTACACAGCGTTGTTTGATCTATTCATTCTACCAAATGAAAACATAGAACTGTGTGCATTCTCTTGATATCAAGCACCGAAACAGCAAGTTATAGGAACAAAACATGGTTTGTTTCTACAATAATACGAGAGGGGCGTTCAGTCTATTCTAGGAAGCTATCAGAAGAAGTTGAATATGGATTTACGGATTCACTGATCCGTGTTGGCTTCTGGTAGTATTTTGAAAAACAGAATTTCTGGAAACAATTAGTTCTAGCTGAAAAGTTATGAAAAACAAACCTGTACTGTAGTACTATAGGACAATTTGAATCTGTTTCAGCTGCTGATTCCTATACTAACTGTTGAAAACATAACAAAGGAGAAAACAGCTAGAATCATCCCAAACGCAGTGGGTATTGCTACTAGCGAAGACAAGCATGTATTTGGAAGTCTTATATCTAGAGACAGCACGTTACATTTCATGAGGGCCGTTTGGCAGAAGGCAAAGAATGCCTCCCCTGTAATTATTGAACCGGAAATCGAGGTAAGGCCATAGTAGAGTTTTTACACACATATACGAGGGTCAATCAAATATGTACAGGACTTTTCAACTTAATTCCGAATCAATTATTTTTATGAAAATCCTCAATAATTCATTTTATACTCCTAAAAATATCCAGTTAGCAAAAATCAAAAAGGAAATAGTGATCGCCATGCTGCTGTAAGTTTTTATTATTGCACATGTAGAAGTCACGATGTTTTGCAACTGGCCTGGATGTAGTAAATTTCACGTCAACAATAACTTGTATCGTGTGATGCTAGGCGAAATTTGGTAACATCGTCGTGTTTTTTGGCTCCCCTACTACCGATCCTAATGACAAGCGTCAATCTGCGACGCTCGGTACCGGCCTGACAGACATGACAGGGATTGCACCACAGCAATGCGCATCGTCATGTCTCATACAAACCAAGGACTTAATTGAGCGATTTGGCTGGGAAGTCATTGCCCATTCCCCTCACGGCCATGATATAGTGTTACCGAAAATGACGGAGCCTCTAGGCGATCAAGGGTTCGAGGCGTAAGAGGAGTAAGTTAAACTTGCTGGCAGAGGACTTTCTTGAGGCAAGAGTACAAAAGTGAACTTCACGTCTAAAAAATGCGACTGTGGAGAAAAATAGCTTTCCAGTGGTGAATTTGTTTTTTTCAAGTAAAAAATTCCTTGTGCCTGAAAAAATGTGGGAAACATATTTTTGAAACAACCCTCGTACTGACCTGACCAAATATATTATTGACTATATAACATGAATTAAAGATTCCGAGATTTGAGATACAAATCAATGCCTTACAAACATCGATTACTTAATCTCATCTCTGGCATCACATTCGAGGGCGTTTTTTGTATCTTAATAATGCAATCGTGTTTGAACACCTGCTGATTGGAGAGATAAGCAATACATTGATGTTTACAATCGATTTCTGTTCGTATCACAGCCTCTAATATAGACTAGGATACGGTTGGACTATACGCTTGGAGCATGGAACATTTTCTTCAACAGATACGTTATGCTTTTATATAGTGAAGGGCAGCAATAGTTTGAGAAACGCATTCTCCCAGATCCAGGATTCACTTTGTATACATTTATGAGCTTGCGAAACAAACTACACTATCAGTTGCGAACTTATCTCCCATTTTTGCTGACACTGTCCATATAACTCTCTTAAGGCCTTCGATTGATGATTAGTCACCAAAGAATCATAGGTAAAGTTCAGCATTTTGGTTTTAGCAATTATTTATTAGATTTAATTTCTTCTTACTTCCATGATAGAAATCAGTACGTTTCTTACAACGGTTTCAAATCTTCACCTTACTCGGCCACATCCTGTGTACCTCAGGGATCAAATTTACGCCCTCTTCTCTTTATTTATTTTATCAATGACCTCCCTAACTGCTTAACCTGTCCTTCGCTGTTGTTTGCCGATGATTTAAAAATATATGCGCAGATTAACAGCATTGATGACTGTCTAATCTTGCAAGCTGACTTGAATCATATATTTGAATGGTGTTCAACTAATAAATTATTTTTGAATGTTAGCAAATGCAAAACCTGTTCTTTTACCAGGAAAACGAATTCAATAGTTTTTGATTACACACTGGAAGGTGTCAGTTTGGTGCATTGTTCAGAAGTAAGAGATCTAGGTGTGTTGTTTGTTGTTAAATCAGAATTTACAGGTCATATTAGTACAGTAGTATCATCCACTATAATAAGCCTCGTTTTTTTGATAAGAAACTGTAAATCGTTTGGTAGTGAAACGGCACTCAAGGATATATATTGCACCTTGGTGCGCTCTAACCTGGAATATGCATCTAGTGTATGGCATCCATATTACCAAATCTATATTGATGAAAGTGAAGGTGTATAGAGGACATTTCTTAAATACGTGACTTTCAAATTAGATGGTGTTTATCCCAATCGTGGAACTCCCCAATCAGCGATGTTGCTCAGACTTGAAATGCATCGTCTTGAACTGAGAAGAGTTTCTAATAGTTTAAAATTCCTTTATAAACTCGTAAACAGTGATGCTGATTCTTCAGCTTTATTAGCTAAAATTGATTTTCATGTACCGTCCCGCATTTCCCGAAGATTTCTCGCTTTTTACTTAAAAACACCAAATTCTTATGTTATGATTAAGTCACCCGTGTACTTTAAGTGTTCCAGCTTCAACACCATAGCTGATAATTGTGACATTCATCATGATAAAGTCAAAGATATATTAGCTGTATTCAGCGACTACTATTATTCAATTTATAGCATTTAAGACATGTAGGTCAGTAGGTGTAGCTTTCATTTTTTTTTCTTTCATTTTCTTTTTCTGAAACTGGGCAAGCTATGATTGTAGTTAAAAATACTGTAACGTCAAATTGTAATCAATAACATTGTCCTTTAAATGAATGTATCTGTTGGGCAATAAATATATTATTATTATTATCATTATTATTATTATTATTATTATTATTATTATTATTATTATTATTATTATTATTATTAATGTTCTGGAATATCATCAATTTAGCTGAATTCTTTGAAATATATATTGTATGTACATACATAAGTTTGAAATAATTCAGTAATATCTGATATTTATTACATTTACGTGCATTTAGCTGTGCGATGAAAAATACCTTATATTTCTAAATTGAAATAAAAATTAAAATGATGACAAAACCCCGATGATTCGTGCTAAACCCATTTTTGATGCTGGTAATTGGCAGTCAATTTACCTTTTCCTGGAACCAGTAAGAGTATCTACAAACACGAGATAAAATACGAATCAAATTTTTAGGTACTGTAGAATAACTCGGTAAATTAACAGTACAACGATTCGTTAAGAACTCCCACATTTTGCTTAATCAAGGCTGCAACTAACGTACATATGTCCACAAAATATTTATCGGATTTTTCTCTTAATGAAGAAATTCATTTAAACATCAAGTTTCGGATGTCTCTCATGAGGTCCTGGTCGGAATTCAGGTCAATTTCTCTCAGTTTTTGTAAATTTGTCGTCCTAGTTGTTCTTTATCTTGTTCTTCCTAGCCTTGGACAGTACGTCGACTAACACCACACACAGTCTCCAATTTGCGGGTACTTAACGTAGGATCTACATAAACTTGCCCTAAAACCCCAACTTCTATTGCTTCGTTCCATATGGGATTTTCAATGTTGCGTTGTTTATTGGCGACTGACCCAGTTTCCCGAAATTTAGATACAAGTTTTAGAACATATTTTCGATTCACGTTACTGTTCTGATGTCGCTCATTAAACATTTCTGCTGTTCTATTAGCGCACTGATAATTTCCGAAAAATATTTCGATAATTTCAACTCTTTCTGCTGTGCAGCCATCGTTAATTTATGTAATAAAGCGTTACAAGTTATTTTAGCAACAAAGTTTGGTCAAATCAATCGCAAACTATGTAATAAATAGATATTCCCTTATCTTTCTTCAAGAAATAACTCTTTTGCCACAAAAAAAACGCTCCAATAGCTATTTTCAACAACAAAATGATAAACAAACCATGGGCGTAGTGAAGAAAAGCATTTACTTATTACGTAAATTCTTTTAGTCAAATTTCTTCTGGAAGTAGTACAAATTAATCTGATGTACCTATTAAAGTCTACATTAAACTTTAAATCAATAAATCTTCAAAACTACTGAACTGAAGTACATTAATTTTATATCATTATAAAGGGAATTGAAAGACTTTTAAAATAAGTTATATATAAACTTGTGTCCCCCTCGAAGACAAAATCGACGGGTCAAAGCGTTTTTCCAAAAAAAATGCCAGTAAATGCGTGTTTCGTTTTCTATGCGCCACCCTGCATACGAGTACATTGCTGATACTCGTAGTGGCGACATAATTTGCATAGTGCTGTGACCAATTGATAAATTCTATGGCTTCGGTATCCTGACTTCTACAAAAGATTTCTAGTGACTAACACGCGTTACTAATAATAAATATCTGAAACATGGAAGCATATTGATGGTCATTAAAAAGGAAAACAGTTTTGTTTTTAGTCATTAATAGCCGAAAAAAACGTAATACACTTAATAATTCGCATTTTCCAGGAACCTGATCTAGATTCCAGTGATTCGGTAGACGGGGAGAGTGGGAGAGATTCACCACCACCAGACGACCTCACAGCCACATTTCCATTAGTAAAATTAGTTAAAAGTACATCTACATCGCCAACAGAATGTAAGTATGTGTATGGACACTTAATACACTGAATTCTCAGTCAGACTTTTTTGAGTCCACAGTTATCTTTTTAATAAATATTCTCAATATTTTCTCTACATGGTGCCATTGCTTGTCATCATATCCTAACCTTATTACGTTTACACTTTGTGAGGGTAGCTGAAGTAAATCCTTCACTGGTTAATTCAATGCTAATAAACACATCATTCTTTTCACCCTTTTAATGGTAGTAAGAGACAATAGTGATATAATATTTCATATATTTGACAACTCCAAATAATATATCAGTTTGAATGATGATTCTGGCAACTTTTGAGTCCGCTCTGGAAGCCTGGGACGATATAAGGTTGGCCCCCACCCTTCGCCATCTACAGAATTTTGCGCCACCCCTGCAGGATTCACTAGTAGCTAGATATGCTGGATACAACCTTGAACTGCCTCTGGTGTAAGCCCAGGCCGCGACAAGAATGGTGGTCCACGCTGCCCGCCCTTAGATAGATAGGGTTGTTCTACTAGAGGTTAACTCAATTAGTAGCCTCTTGGCTGAAAAACGAGATCCTAATCTCTTCCTCAATTAGCACTCTGCTAGACATTGGCCTAGCGAATCGGACTGACCACCTGAGCACTATTCGTGAGTACATATGTACAAGAATGGGATGTGGATGCCCATTCAGTTTCTTACGCTGGATCTGTTAGTTAAGCCATTATATTTGACCAATCATCGTCAAGCTGTCCGGTCTCGCTTTCGAACCACAAGAATTCATAGTCCAGTCGAACTAGAACATTGTGCGATACCACCTTTCATTTAAACGTTAGCTATAATAATTCTCATCAAGAAAGTAGCTTGGAAAGTATGTGGAACAGTATTAAGTGCTTTTTGTATACGTATAACTCCTCGATACATTCTGACGTTTAATTTAGGTGTCCCCTTATGTACATTTTGTACTGTTAGCAATATACTTGATTGTCATTCTCTACCGTTTACTATACAGTACTCCAGCGTACAAAAATAGATGATCTGAAAGATTCTAGCACCATCTATGAGACAGCAGCAGAACTAAAAAACGAATCTATATATCTACTTTGAAAAGAGTAGGACCATTGCCTGGTCGAATCGAATGTATCGGCAACCTCATTGACATTTTCAAGTACAGTGACAATTACAAAACATCGTACAATTAATAGAAATCAAACCATATATTTGGTTTGATTCGGCCAGGAAATGGGGATTTACGAACATGAAAGCCACAGGATAAGCTTCAGGAGTTTCATCAAGAGTAACATTGTTTGATTTTGCTACTGCCTCAAAGGTGGAATACGTTAATGAATGTCAGAAGATAGACAATCAAGATGGGCATCAGAGAGGCTAAAAAATGATTGAAGGTTCTAGCGTCAACTGTGAGACAGTACCAGAACCAAACATTTTAACTCTTTTCAAAGTAGATTTATAAATTCATTTTTGTATTTTGCTACTTTCTCATAGATGGCGCTGGTATCTTTAAGAGGTCCCTTTTTGGATACCGGAATACAGTATATGGTTGGCCTCCCCTAATCATTAGCAGCTGTATCGATTGTTTCGTTCTGCTTTTATAATAAAACTTTTCTAATTACTTTATGTAAATATAATAACATAAAAGCTTCGGCGTTGCCGAGTAGTATGAAGCAGTACCAGATATGCTTCTGTCACTTTACGAAATGATTACCTGATATTTGTTGTCAGGCTCTTTTGTGTTGAACGATCGCTTTTGCAGCGCTATGTTCTGATAAATGCAACCATTCTTTGTTTTCTGTTTCCAGCCGCATCCTGTGATAGCAAAGACCCGCGGCAAACAGTATCTGACCGAGTGTGTAGTCTAGTCAAAACCATAAAAGAGACCATAGTTGAGTTTAGGAAACTACCCAGACAGAGTTTGGTGCTTTGCGCAACTACTCTGCTTTTGGTGCTTCTATTCTTTTCGGCGGGAGTACTGCTTTATCGTATCAGTCAAATCCAAAATAGGTAAGAAATAAAAAAAATCAAATGCTATACTGGCAGAAGTACTCGAATATGATTGGCATTTGTTAATTTCTTATCAAAACAGCAAAATGCAAAAATATTACAAATGAAGTACACGAGATCTTCAGAATCATTGTTTTTAGTTTATTCAACCAGAACCAACTGAAGAAAGTGATCCTAATAGAATCACATTCACGCTTTGTTATCAGTGCGATATTTTATACACCGCCTTTTCGTACTTCTCTTGCTCCAATTATAATACTTCTCAATTTTGAATAGTAATTTTTTCGTTATTTTGAAATCTCTAAAAAAAAGAAAATATTTGATTAGCCCTTGAATTTGATAATTTGAAAAGCAGGAAAAGCAGAAGTTCTGTTCAAAATTCAAATCGGAATAAAAAAATACATTCGACCCACCTATATATCAGGACAAACTACATCAATGCTGTTCGGGCTGTAAAAACTACAGGGTTGCCACGTTGGGGGATTTTCCCCCAAATTTGGGAGATTTTCACTCGGGGTATTTTTTGGGGATCAACCGTCAAGTTTTGGGCTCGTTTTTTGCAAATTCGCTGGTTCTCCTGCTATATAGACTCCGTGCTTGCTACACTCAACAGTTAAGCTTTTAATATTTCAAACAGTGATACCATTATCTGTTTTTAATACAGTTAGTACATGTCGCTTTCTTCAGATGGCGCTCAAAGCAGGGAAAATAGACACGTATATTACTTACACCCTTCCGACTGTCCTGATATCCATACTAATGTTATATTTTATGGACTGAGATCTGTCATCCATCACAGATGCTCAATTTATTACAGCTGCTCTCATTTTAATTTTCTCATATCTATTTTAAAATGAGATCAGAAGCATAAATATTCATCTTCTCTACCCATTCTTGGTGTTGCATTTTTCTTTTGTTTTACTAGGTACTCCTTAGCTCTGATGCAAGAAGCGGTGAGCAGTGCAAGTACTAGGGGTGCAAGAGATGTTTACAGTGACTTGTTACATTGGCATTCACAGATGCATACAAAATCGGCAGGTGCTGTCAACAATTTCTTGGATTCCAACTTAGAGATGGTCGCACAGGTACGGTTTTGTGATTTCTTTATTCTTCTGTTATTTTTTCTTTCAGAAATAATGTCTCCGAATTTTAGTCTATGAATTGCCGTAATTATTCGCTTCTGGATTCTATTGATAGTTTCAGAAGAAGCTTATTTAAAAACAAATATGATGCACATCTGCGACCGTGATAATGTGCAGCTTGGTAGCTATGATATATATATATATATATATATATATATATATATATATATATATATTTCGCCTTTTGTTGGGTACTTCGACAAAGTTTAAGCAAAGAGGACTCTTTATACTTTTTTAATTCTCTCTAGCTTTCAATGGACTTTGCCATCATCATCAGGAGCTGCAATTATAATGATAACAGTAGCAACAATAGTGTAAAATGAATTTAAATTGACTCAAATACAGTAGTATGTGAGGATGTTGCTAATTGTTGTTTACGTATAGGATGAGGGAAACGTCCAGTAACATGGTGAGAGCTGGATAGATGGTACAATGGTCAAAATTATATAAAATATGACAAGAACAAGTTAAAAACAGATTAAAAATTATTTAAAAAACATTAAAGCATTACATCGTGAAGCCACTTGATGATTGCACAAAATGGTGGTCATGGAATAATGAGTGAGATGAACCCTTTGACAGAAGGCCGAAGGTTGTCAATGTCTGTGTAGAAAGATGGAACGAATTGTGGGCGTGTGCCAACGTTGCCAAATCACTTCAGATGATGTGATTTTCAGAATGTTATGTAAGAAATTGTTAAACCGACCAGAGGCAGTTGAATAAACTATATTTTAATTAATGGGAAATTAAATTAACAATTATTATTAAATCGTGAGAAGAGAATTATTAGATTTTGAGTGGAATGAAATTTACTGGTGGAATCAACCAAGATACAGATTCTATTTATGGTTGTGAAGAGTCAAAATTTGGGGAGATATGTAAGTTCTCCAATTTTTCGCAGTTTAGCAAATATGAGTAAATGACACTCAGTTGTTTAACATCTGTCTTTTTGTTGATACAGTTGTTATTCATGAAAATGTGGGACATTTCCACGAATAAACGTTTGGAAAGGTGTTTTTTTTTTATCAAGAACTTTGATACTTGTGTAATTCATAGAATGCCCTATTGTGTTAACATGAGATGCTAGAGCGCATCTTTCAGGATGAAGCCTAGAATCACTTTTGTGTGATGTAATCCTTCCTTTAAGAGATCTGGAGGTCTGACCTATGTATATTTGGTTGCAGTTGTTGCAATTGATGGAGTAGACTGTGTTGGTTAAGCCAAGCAGCGGGACTTTGTTTTTCATTTTTGAAAAAATGCAGTTCATAGTGAGGACGGATTTGCAAGCAATTCGAAAGTTCAAAGGACTGCACAATCTGATCAGCTTAGGGGTCAGTTCCTTGATATAGGGCAGGACAGCAAAACCAGGTCTGGAGTCCGGGTTGGTGCTTGTACTGTTTGGATTGATGCTATTATTGGGAATTACATCAGTTCCGTTATTAGGGGTTGTGCGACTATTACCTGAAACATCAGAGTTCGGCAAAACATTGGAAGGTGAACTAAATAAGATCTTGTTAATCAGACACTTCGGATAACCATTATTGATGAACAGTTTTGATAGTTTACGTAAATTTGAGGTGTGGAAAGTATTATCTGAGATGCTGATTACCCTTGTTTTCATCTGTTTTACCAAATTGATTTTAATCCCTAGCTTATGGTATGACCTAAAATTGAGAAACCGACCTGAGGCCATAGGTTTCTGGTACCAGTCTACCAATAAACTGTTGTTGTTGGTGCGGATGAGTCTTGTGTCTAAAAAGGGGACAGACAGGTTCTCATCTTCTTTTTCAATGGTAAATTGGATGTAGGGGTCATAGCTGTTGAATTCTCTGACAATACCATCCAGACCTATGGAGGGGAGGCATAAAATAATGTCATCTACGTATTTTTTTATGAAGAAGAGGTTATAGGGTAGTGTCAGAATAACAGTATCAAGCAGATCATCCATGACATATTCTGCCAAAATTGGTGATAGAACAGATCCCATAGGACAACCATGTGTTTGAGAATATATTTTGTTGTTGAAAGAGAAATAATTGTTGTGAAAGAGGAATGTTATAATGTTGGTGAAAGATTCTAGAGATATGTTGCAGTGTTGACTTATCTCATTCCAGTGTTTATTAATAGTTCTTGTACATGCATCCAGATAGATATTGCTGAATAGCTGAATAGCTGAATAGCTGATGTGGTGTACCCAACAAAAGGCGGAAGCTTTAATTTTTCACCTAACTGGTCTAGACGACAATGACCACGTCTCAAGTTATATGTATATATATATGTTACAAAATAAAGCTATCAGAATCATCTTAAATGAAAATAAATATACTAGAATAAATTTTATGCTGAAAGAACTACAATGGTTAAATATCAAGAATGTCATAGTCTACCTGTTTTTCATTCTCATATTCAAGTGAAAAAATCATCTTCTACCAAATCACTTAGAAAATTTTATTGTATTGAACAATGAGTGCCACAATTATTCTACTAGAGGATGTATAGACTCCTTTACAAAACTGCAGTAGCAACGTAACGAGCAAGTCAGTATTTCAAAAGGGATTGTACGAATTTAATAAATTAAGTAATGACATCAAAATGTGTGTTAGTTTGAAAATGTTCAAAGGGAAATTGAAAAAATATCTCATGGGAAACCAGAATTAATAGTAGTGAAATCTTGTATAAAAATATGTAGTCTTGAAGACATAATATATTTTGTACATACTGTGTAACAAACAAACAAACTGAAACCGTTATTTTCATCAATGAGTTTTTGACGTTACATTAAAAATTAATGTCCCCTTGTGAATACTACAGTTAGTTGGCAGTGTAATAAAAATCTTTATTACAGGTGAGGGAGTCTTTGGAAGCCCTGTCCACGCTGTTGGTGCAAAACGATCAGATAGTTCCAGAGAAAAGTAACGCCGAGCCGCAACATTCTGGTGAAACTGTCAAAAATGATAACAGCTAGCAACTTAATATTATTCACGCCACGCCCATCAGCAAAGCTAAGGTGAAGCTCTAAGAAAGAAATATCTGCGGTCAAACCCAACAGTATTTTGATATAGTTTACGGAGCAATAGTTGATCATATAAAAGCTTTTAAAATGGATGATTGAAGAAGATATATGAAAATGTGATATGTACTCGTAAGGGTAGAGGAAGCTAAAGTGAATAAATTTAATGTGAATACAACTGTTTGCATGGTGATATAAGATGAACAAGGGAATGTAGGAATAAATTTATTTAGAATTCGGAACATCATTTTCCTAACATTTAACATTAGATTAGGTTTTATCTGATACAAGAGCATAAGCTATAATGATGTATTAGACTCACACAATACCTTAAATGGACTGGACATTTTTTAGTGATTAAGAAAAATGGCTAAATAAGAATTAATTTAAAATGAATCAGTAGTATGAGGAAGTTTTTTCTTACGGAATCATGCAAGCAAGTGTACATAAAACTTATTATGGGCTGGTGCAAGATATTGTGATATTTCGGTACATATGTTGTTGGTTTGTATATATAGATGAATAGGTGCATTGAAGGGAACGGTTTTTGTGGAATTTTAAAAGTTCTTACAATTTCAGCTATTATTGCTATGATGAATCATTGCCAAATAAAAATTGCCATAACATATTCTCATATTAAGTACATATAGATTAGAAAACAGGTAACAACTAGTGGTACATACTATAAAGTAATAGTGAATAATAGTGAAAAGACACACTTGGCACGATTGCACACGTGTTGATATACTTGACAGCTGGTTAAAATTTTAATATTCACGTATATGATGATATCTATTTGTCAAAACTTGTTTTACTATTTCACTTTTCAACATTGTGGAGTCGCCTCTAAATGGGCAATGTTTTTGAAGTTGTAGGCGTCGCGGCCGATTATATTTCGTTAATTCGGAACTTTGACAGCAATATATGAGGATAGATCAAAAATGTTAAACATGTGTAGCAAAAATATTGCCGCGTATTGCTGGCTACTCTGTCGTAACATGATTATCCAGTACTCATAAATATTCGCCGTTAAAGGGTAAATTATTCACCATTCAAAAACTTCAAAATGTTCATATTTGAATTCATGTCGTGAATGAAATAATAAAATACAGATTCTGTAAGCGGTAGTAGTTTCGTATTTTCATCCATATCAAATGCTCAATGCTAAACATTCAGTTTTCTACTAGTGTTGCTCAAAATTTGGCTCTTTCGAAAATCATAAAATATAGCTCTGTCATTTTCAATACAATGTGTATAAGACAGTCATTTTATTCATAGAGTAAAGGAACTAGCAGTACATGATGGGTAGTCAATTGAACCTTAGTTCCACCAGTAAGTTACATTTTAATAGAACGTAGAAAGAGTATCTGTCAAAAGAACCTCAAACATCTTAAAAGCGGGTACGAAAGCTATGTGTTTCGACGTTATAGTCAAGCGGAATCGCACAGCAACCCTCTGTTGCGCGACTCAGTGTACTACACAGTGGAGCAAGCTCGTAAACATTCAAGGCCACGGCTCGCACTGTAATCAAAAATTAGCGCGAATTTTTAGTAAACCTAAAATTACACTCTAACAGAACCGAATCAAAATTTTTTTAGTTCACCTCAAAATTAATCCGTGTACCAAGTCAAAAAGCCTAGGTATCTCCTCTTAACCTAAACACTTCTGTTTTTCTTTGCTCTTCTCCATTTTTCTTCTCTTTCCCTTTCTCTTCGTCCTTGACATTGTCTGGTTTCTGAACAACCAGTACTGACAGATTCGGCTAACGTACATTAGACATTTACTAATACGCACAGGTCCTATGGACCGCCCAGACAAACAAATGACGAATAGTTAGCGATGTGTTTTCCATGAGAACACCTTTTTTGCCTCAGTATGCTACAATTCTTCCTAGAGACAGAGTATCGTGACTAGTATGAATGCAAAGCATCTGCTTCATTGCTCGGTTCAAGTTTGCTCTCTGTATTAGATTCTGTTGAGGTACGACATTAACATGCTTCCCCTCAACAATCTCATCATCCGCGAATCTTACAAATTCTACCCCCACTCAGTTGGTCTATAAAAGCATCCAATATAATTGTAGCTCTTTACACATTGCTCATCTGTAAATACATAACTTGTTACCTGCATCATAGTGAGGTTCTTGGTTCAAAAGTAGTGCACTCGCGTGATGTGATTTTAGCATGCTGAAATTGCGATTCAAATGACTTGCAGTCACCGTTCTTGGCGGTTACGTCATCTACGCCATATGAAATAAGTAAGCAGATCGAGTCTCCGTACCATGGGTGCAGACTAATCTTCAGCGCCTCTGCTACTCTCCCAAGTACGCATGAAGTGGGTAACCTGGGACAGCTGTTTCTGTTCTTTTCTTGGAAATACTCTAATAAATTTAGCACGAGCTGTCGGCCTTCTCCATTGATCGTATTTCCGGGCACTGTACAATTTTACATTGAATTTTGATAACAGGACAACCCAAACTGCACGCCGATGTCAAGTAAGCTGTCACTCTGACAAATATGATTGAAGGGCACTCATACATAACGACAAAGTTTTCGAGACGCTGACACATAACTAAAAAACGCATGTCTGAGCTTACCGAACAAACGTTCACACACAGGGGCAGGTTGCATGTGTTTGTATGAGGGAGATGGAAATATATAAAGATATACTGGTAGTCTTACTTTGACCCGCCAAGAATGGTGACTACAACTATTCAAGTGTAAGTATATTTTTTACCTGTTACTTAAATTTTATTGTAATCTATGTGGAGGTACGTGTAAGTTTTGTGATAAAATGTTGAGGCAGAAATCAAATACTTTGAACTGAAGCGTATGTCAGAATTAGACAACATTATGTTATGACCGTGTTGGGTCTAGTTTTAGATAAAGTTCGGTATATTCCTGTTTTGTAAGACTATAGTAGCTTTTTTATTTTATTTAAACGTTTTGGTGTAATGATTACAATTTTTTGTTGATATGACTTTTGCCCCACACGCTAATTCAACTTGTACAAGTTTTCTTCAACACAACATCTATTTCATAGGGTACGATAGGACATCATTTAGCTCAATGTGAAACAAAACTTTTACCAATGTCTCTATAATTGTGGAAGTTTGAAAACGAGTCTTAAAACTCAGCTACTAAGATGATCCTTCAAACCACTATAGAAAACATGATCGATTAAGTTGAAGAACATAGGTATAGATAATATAAAAATCGAGATTATGATTCCAATGTGCAAATTTATTAAGATCTTGTCTATCAGTGGAGCATTGGAACTTTTATGGGTGATACGTTGGAATCGGCAACTAAGTTATCCCTTGTAGTGTAAGTTTCTGATATATTGTGTAGTACAGGCCTAAGTAGGATTATTTTGTACTACTTCCTTCAGGATTTTCAATATTCCAAGCACCGATTTCAAGGACACTGTATCACTGGATATCAGTGTCTACATCACCAGGTGACGAAACTTGCGCGGTATTTTTTGTCATAAGTTGTAAATGAATGTTCCTGACTCAACTGTTGAGTTGATTCATCAAAGCATCCAACTTAAAACTGTGTAGGATACTTTATATGACTAGAACGGTATTACTACGTAGATACTTGTTTGTAACATCTACAAAATACATACTATTATATTTATGCAATTTAAGTAGTTGCAATTTCGAAAATCTTGTTGTTAGCGTCAAATAACAAAAGATAGATTTATGTATGGTATTGAGCCAAGATCATACTGTTAAAGCACTGATACCATTCAGTACAGGTAGAGTTGTAGACACTCATATATTTTTTCATATAATCATATGTTACACAAAATGTATATATACATTTACATGTAAACTGTAAGCAGATATTTACTGTTTAAAAATTTAAAGTCAAACTTCTTAGTAATTTTTTTCATCATGGCAAGCATTTCACTTTTTTTTAAACCTCCTAAAGTCACTTGGAGGACATTTTGATGGTATTGGTTATGTATTTTTTATTCATCAGCAAAGCTTGTACTGTGTCATAAATGATTTGACAGTGGTACCTTGAGGTTATTTGTATCATATGTTTTGTATGATATTTGTTTCATTTTATCTGCGTACAGAGATTCATAGATGTTCCTTACTTTGTTATGTGGAGTACTATATAAATATGTCTTTATTTAGTTTTAGAACTTTACAGTCTTTTTGTTAATTTGTATGTCTGTTAAGAGGACGCCAATATTTAAAATCAATGTTTTGCTCATCAATACAAGTAGCTAAAAGCGCTCAAGTAGTGTAGATTATATTCAACAAGCACATAATCTCAATAGTATTGTATTGAAGAAAATGTCACCATAACATGTATTTTTCGTTAACTTCATGAAGTCCTCTTAAGTGTCCCCTAATATAGAAAAACCTGTGATATATTTGTTTTGCTTTTTCCATTTGAACAATAAAATATTTAATTGATGCTTTGTCTGTTATTTAAAAGGAAAACAAAAATCTTGGTCACGTACTATAGAAGTAGGAACTCTAGTTTTGGGACAAGCGGTTTGAATATACGAGGGGGTACTTAAAAAAAACCGGAATTATTTTTTAAAAGCAATTTGTTTTCAACTTTTTCACAATTAACCTTATCTGCTTCAAAATATTGTCTACTACAACTGATACACTTGTTCCACCGGTGCTTCCACTGCTCGAAACTTTTTTTGAAGTCTGCCTTAGAAATGTCTGACAGCTCCTCCCTCGTTTTTTTCTTGACCTCTTCAATGCCGTTAAAGCCTTCATGCTCCTTTTCATCAGTGGAAATAAGAAAAAGTCGCCATTTGTAAATCGAGCAAACCTCTCGTACACCTGACTGTTTCCCATAGCTTTACGTTCGTAAGCTATTTCCAACATTAAAACGGTTTCGGCAGCATTTTTACCAATTAGAAAGCCAATTTTCACAGCTGTACGTTGCTCACTGAACATTGCCATCGTAAAAAACAAAACAAGCACGAAACAGCTCTAGCAAAAATAATGACTACAGAGGAACGAAATAAGCCAAATCGACAACTCAGTTGGCACTGAACTGGTAATGAGTTGCGGTGTACGCCTCTAGGGGCAGAAATGTGTACTACACAAGCTCCGCCCACTGCAATGCGATTCGGGTTATTTTGAAGTACATATTGTGTTCTTAGGACGTTTTCTGGCGATTAACATAGTTTGTAGGATCTGGATTTGGTTTTTCTAAATAACTAAGGTCTGAGTGCATGAGGTATTATACTTTTTCGGAATTAAAATCAACAAATCTATTCAATACAGCGTTCATAAGAAAAATAAAGTTGATTGACAAAACGTCACATTATAGAATAGTTTGAGGTGGGCTCGAACAGAAGGTTAGAAAAAACTCTCCATGAGGCTTTCAATGCATGTATATTTTGACAAATAATAAAATAACGTTACGAACTGGGAGAGCATCGTAACAAACGAATATCGAGTAGATTCCAAAATAGCTCACGACTCAAGTTGCGGTAGCTTTTTTGCAATCTACGAATACAATTAGTTCAAATATCTATGGTCCATGTCAGTAATAGTATTAGTTAGGTATTCATAGTTTGAAAACGATTAAATTAATAGAGTCATCTCAATATTTTACAGCGATCGTCGAATATTTACAAAATGGTATATGTATACGCTTGGAAACGAGTGCCTTTTAAGGTGAGCATATTTCTTTTGGAATAGTTATCGGATGTTTGAACTTTCAAGATGTAAATGAGATAGTATTTAGTGTTAGTTTTTAGTGTAGTAAAAATGAGAAAAATAAGTTGAACTGTACCTATCACGTTCTCTTTGTTTGAATTATAATGTAAGCCTAAGAAATGTGCTCACCACATATTTGCGAATAATCGTGATTATGATTTGTAGTTGCTTGTAGCGAAAATATTCGTAAGCAAAACAGGTTTTTTGGAGACACCCTCAATTTGAAAAGTCTCCAAATCAATTCCGGAAACGAGTCCAGTATCATTGCCTCTTGGAGGTAATGTGAGAGGATAACAATTTACTAGCTAGAAGAACCTGAGCCTTCCCTTAAAAATACCAACTCACTTTAAAGATAAATTTACATTAACTGCATCAACTTTTTGAGGTCGTAGGTTTAGATACCTTAAAAAATATTGGTAATAAAGGTAATTCACTTAGAACCTGGAATCGGGTGGATAGAGGGAATAGGCCTTTTGTAAAAAACCATCTTTCTATTAGCGACATTTGTATGGATATCTTCGAGCTTACAAATGGAATCGGTATCAAAGTAAACTGTATATGTAGGGTATACCTTGATATCAATTCACTTTTAAAACAAGTTTATCTATTTATTTAAACGGTATATGCGATTTGTACAAAGTGAATTCACAAATTTAATGCCAGGTAGATGATAAAATGAAATAAACAAAAAAGCAGTAGTAACACATATTTTAGATATGATTTTAGAATTAATGTAAAAGACTGTGGTCCGAAAACGAGTAAATGATAGAATTGCGTCGCCACAAGTAACTACAAAATCTGTGATATCAACAAGAGACATAATACATTAAATTTACATAATATTTTACATAGATCAGACGTATTTTATACACAATTATTAATTATTAAGATTAACTAAGTACGTATTATACGCTTGGTCATCTTGATATAAAAACCATACAAAAATCAATACAATTAATTATAGTTTGTACATGTGCTTAACAAAAACACTGTCGAGAAATCATACATATCGCTGCTTTGCGTTAGCATTATTCATATAATACTTAAAGAAAATAAAAATCACAGTTTCTCATATGCTCAAAAAGATTGTAACCTAAGCCGACCATTTTAATAGAAATTGTGATATATTATCGTGCTTTTCTTTTGTCACACAGTCACAACCCGCTTGAAGATTTGAAACTGTGAATCCATTTTCCTGTAAAATATACGCTACATAGGTGAAACAGTGAGGCAGCTATGCAGATGTATATGGTTTGAAAGTGAAGTTTTTTTATTGAATTTTTCCATTTTCATTGACATATTTGATTACAGGGTATTCAAAAGATTTATGTTGGAATGTCAGTGAACACGTATTTATTTATTATTGGCTAAAATGCACGTTCCTTTTAATTTTAGTGGTACCAAGGCAACCGCGCAGACAGAAACCTGAATACGTAAGGAGCTTAGAGATACATTGTAAATCCAATTTTTGAACTGCCTGAGGTTAGTAGAATACAGAAAAAGCTTCTCAGGCAGGTTTTGCGACAATCTCAACACGGTCTGGATGGGACGCCTAAGGAGCAAAGTTTAGAGACAGCGGTAGAAGAGAGCCCGATCGGTGCAAAAGGAGGGTCCTGAGGCCGTGCGGTAGAGAAGTGTAACCGATTAGTCTGACAGCTGCATCTGACTAGTAACAAGTATGGACAATGTAGTCGGTGTGGCAGCACTGCAAATGTCTGAGCAGTACTCGAAGCCAGGTCTTATCAGATTGAGGAGGTTTGTGAAGGAAATTACCCTGACAAATAGCCTAGCTTTTCGATTGACGAGATGTGGTCAGGCCAGATCAAGTCTTTGGTGATCTGGACTTGGACCAGCCGAAGTTAAAGACTCTTTGTTAGAATTTGGACATCAATAGAAACCGAATGGGCGCTAGTGCGCTTCTTGGCCGTTAAGGCTTGAAAGCATTGAAGTGTACAAGATTTTTGCGACCCCAAACGTTGATAACTTACAGATCTCTCGTCAGAGAGAAAATTGCTGTTAGTCTTCTTCTCTCCAGCTTATTGGCGGAAATCGGTTGACCCTCCAGAAACGTGCACGTAGAGCGCTGTCATCATTGAAGCTGTGGATCGGATTTATCGTACAGGAGCCAAGGTCGGTTCCTGGGAAACACCTGTGTTGATTTCATTTCAAATACCTTGGACCCAGTGTCAACTATTTTGTACCTAGGATTTTACTAGTGGTTCCAAATGTGTTTTTCACAGTACCAAGAGTTAGTCACAGATCGCACAACTGCCGCTGTGTTATAACAAGGTCACCGAGTGCTAGCATAGACGAAAGCCTGCCGAAAATTTGGTATTGTGTGTTTTGTACGAGTAGTATTCTCGGTCACTGCTACTGTGACACATTCTAACCATTACTTAAAATAGTATGTCAAGCTATAAAAATGGGTGTTTTGTATTTTAAGGATATTTTTCTCAAGCGATCATCAGGAATAAGTAGTATCATTTCATATAAGTTGTGTTCACCTCACTTCAGCTTGCCCGATTTATTCTTTTTACCAAAATTCAGCCTTATCAACCACAACTGGGTAAGAATTGTTTTGTTGACGTGTAAAATCCACAGTATTTAAATTTTGAGATTTGTAACTTTGGTTACAATTATATTCTTTCGGAGATCTGTGTCAGCAAACTGCAAAAATGCAGTTCTCCTTGAAATCTGAAGTAAGTCAGACATTCATCCATTCGACTGCCTCATATCTGTTTTGACCACAGATTATCCCTACACTTTAAAAATTATTTTAATGTGGCACAGTGAGAGTTTGAATTGTCTCTCTTCATTTTTAGAACAAACAGCTATAACGTCTAGCTAATATGAGTAAGTACATTTTTTATAAACCACAAGACTTCTGGTAGGATATCTAAGATATTTATCTGCCCAGAGAAATCTACATCCTATCACTCTTCAAACAGTTTTCGGAGCTGACACTTTCCATGATATCGTCTGTCGGAGCTGAGTTGGACTTTCAAAGAATTTATGGAGCTCATTCGCATACTTGTAGATACTGACTCGCATAGGAAAAACTTTTATTGGCGTCGATGGAAATTGGTAGGATAGTGGTGAAATAATTGTTGTAACCAAGATCAAAGGAACTGACCGTCACTGTCGCATCTGTATGTATGACATATGTGTCAAGGTCGTGAGTGTGTAACTCATTTTGGTGTGATGAGATGTTTGGGAGTTGCTGATTCTTGGAGTTACTCGGTTCTTCTTAATGAAAGATAAAACTTCACCTTCAAAATCTTATCACATTCAACAAATCCAAATACAGATTTTTGCCGTATACATGCTACATAGCTACGATGATATATTAAGGCGAGCAAAATAATTTTTGTGCGTGACTTATATTCATGCTAAACAATTTTTATGAATCGGATCTTGCATTACGCAGCTGTCCGATAATATACAAAACATATGTACAAATATAAAAATGTAAATCCTCATAATGTGAAAAACTCCATTTATATACGATTCTGATAATATCCAACAATTTACCTACGTCTCTTTTTGGACTGAGAAATATTTGTCATACTATAGCATAAGTCCAGTTGGCAGACCTCTGGAGCCTTGGGAGACATACATATTCATAAAAGATATTTTCTCGTAGCAGCAGTTCAGAACGCCTAAGTCCATTCAGAAGATTAGCGACAGCTTCAGAAATCATACGAAAATCTCTGCCTTGTTTTTTACGGAACATAACTATAAATAAAGTTATGTGTAGATTTGAGGCTGCCCTTGATATGGCATGAACTGAATATTAAGTTTTTACTTAACTATGAATGAATTCTGAAGCAGCCTGACATTTGATAAAACTCATCCCATACATGGACTGCCACAGTGACAAGAAGGAATAAGATTTGAAGTATACAACGCTAATATATTTTGATGACACTCAGTCCAACTATATACTGATAAATAAACAGAGATAGAGCACCTTGAAATGGATATGATGATATATGATATCACCAACGTTACCAAAGTACTGTAATATTTAGCATTAAACATTTCTACAAATCCAGAACAAGGCTATACAACTGGATAAGTTGTTACTCCTTTAAACTATCACTTTAATATAACTTTAGTGGTGTAAAGTAGCTGAAATACTATTTCTATCCACGTCGATATCCTGATGAGCGAAAACCTTCCAAGACAGAAATATTTGACTTTGGAGCGTTGGTGATAGTTTTGGAAGATCAGTGTCACGAAACTATCTAAATGAATAAAATACTAGCTGAACATTACTACTCAGTTCTCCATAGGTCTACATCTTAAAGCTAAATAAAGATTTTTAGACGTTACTTAATTGATATTAAAATGAATGCCAGACTGCACCAGATTCTGTCCCTTGCACAAATGAAAACAATCAAAACCCTACTGTGAATATTACAATGCGTACGAAAAATGTTTTTTGGTAATTAAATAAAAAACGTAGCATTCTAATTTAAACCAAGAACTTTTCTAGCAAACGTTTGCGGCAAAATATTAAATTGGATCAGGTATTTGAAATATTCTATTCAGTCGATTTGCCCAAAGCAACTGAAACTGATGCATGTTACCTATGAATGTTGAAGTGAAGCTATATTTTTGTATTAGGATATAACGTTAGCTACAGATATTGTCAATTTGTTGATGGAAATTTATAAATTGCATATATAAATAACGAGATGCTATTTTTTCCAAGAGTGAATTCAAGTCCTACATGACTTTTGTGTGTAACATGCTCTTGGAACCATAGCATCTCTTGCCTAAAAACTGCATATGACCAAATTTTGACATTCTTACATATATGAATAGATGGCTTAGTGAGGAACGTTAAAAAAATGCCACGTACTTGAAACATTTATGCTTACTTATATTCTTACTTTGATGAACAGAGAGACACAACAGTTATACACACACTGTATTTGAATATCACAGTGAGAAGATGCAATGCAGAGATAGTTTACAACAGTTGCTATTGAGTTAAAGCGATTATTTAGTTATTTTCATTCACCTTAAGACACATTTGAAAAGTAGTGATATACTGCTTCCTTTGTATGTTGATCATTTAGTACTTCTATTTGATATAAGAAAAAGGGATAGTTTGAGGCCCAATTACATGAAGACCGTCAGATTGATAGTTGCTTCTACCCAATGCGTAAGCTCATTCATATATTGTAGAATATTATAATGCCTAGAGCTTCTCACGCTCCAAATATATAATGGTAGTATCTACGAGGTTAGTCCAAGAAGCTTCCTTTTGTTGTTGCTTGGAGGAAAAAGTTTCATTTGAAATTTCAAGATGTCATGTTTATTATTTTAACGTATATTAGTTTGGCAAGAATTCAATAATATGGAAACATTTTTTATCGTTATGGGTTGCAATATATTCATTAGAAACAACTCAGTCCAACTATTATCAAAGACCACTCTGTGGGAGTTTTCTTGGGTTGAGTGTAGCATAATTCTTATTAATTATCTTCAGAATAGGAAAAACAATTAGCGGCTAGAATTATGCGAACTTATTGCAGAGCAAAACAAAGTGTTGTTCCATAGTTACAATGCACTGGCTTGTGATGGCCAAAATCAAGCAGTTGAAGTTTGAATTGCTTCCTCACGCATCTTATTCACTAGATCCAGCCGCCTCAGATCATTATCTACAGGTATTTCCAAACTTTTAAATAGGCTAACAATAAAGAAGTGGAGGCTGGCGGCTGAAAACTATTTTGAGGAACTATAGACCGAGCTATTGAACATCGGTGGGAAAGTCTATTGAGCTAAAAGGGGGTTTGATACTAAAAATACATTTTATTTTTTCTTTGTTAGGCCGAGTATTTGTGGGACTACCTTCGTAGACTTATCCCTCATTATGATAGTACTATTTCGAACTCGGGGAAATTACAGGTGACTATTACGTTCAGAAACATTGCAAAACTTTGACTAGATTCATAGATTAATCATATTAGACGAAAATTCCCCTGGTTTGAGAAATAATTGTAAAGTCTGGTTTTATTGCTGCAAGTTATTTAAGGGGGTATTCAAAACATGGACGCATAAAATAGGTATACCAATTTTAATGGGAAAACTTTTTATTCGACAACAAAGATTGAGAAAACGCATTTTTGGGGATTTAATCGAACGTGTTGATAGTAACGAAAAAACTTTTTATATAAGATTTTTAGGTATTTATGAAACCTACAAGATGAGATCACACCTAAAAAGTTATGGTTGAAAACCGAGGCAAACAGCAGGTTTTGGCACTTGTTGCTAATGCGACGATGGTTTCTGGCAGATATTTGAAATTTTTCAAATTCGTAGGATTCGTACTTCTAAATAACCACAGCAAAATTGGCGTAGATTGGTCAAGTAGTTTTTGAGAATCTCTAATTGTTTATCCCAAAACACCTGTTTTCCGGCCATCGCTACTAGTCTATTGAGCAATATAGTTCAAAGGGCATGGCATATCAAAATTCACTAGCTTACCTTGCCCTATGAATCGCAAACCATGCCCAAAGATAAATATTATTTTTATGCTGAAAAGGATGGGTTACGTTTTTTCTTCTAAACAAATTCAAAGATTTCGTATTTGTGAGTTGTTCGTAACAAAAGATGATACACACATCCGCTTTGTTTTAAAATGTGTATAGTAACGTATGTTTTTCGAATATCGTAGCGCATTTGTTCAATTACTCACAAATGTGAAATGTTTGAATTTGTTTAGAAGAAAAAAACGTAACATTTGTTTTTCACACCAAAATAATATTTAACTTTCGGAATGGTTTGTGATTAATATCGGCAAGGTAAACACGTGTATTTTGCTATCAAATGCGCTGTAGTGTTGGTGTTATTTAGAAGCATGAGTCTTACGGATTTAAAGAATTTCAAGTAATTGCGTGAAATTATTGTCGCATTGTCAACAAGTGCCAAAACCTGCATTTTGCCTCGTTTTTCGGCCATAACATTTTTCTCATTCTTTGTTGCCAAATAGAAAGTTTTCCCACAAAAAATGGTGTACCCATTTTATGCGTCCATGTTTTAAATACCCCCTTGAACAACTTGCACCAATGAAACCAGACTTTACTATAATTTCGGGGAAATTTGCTAATACGATTAGACTATTAGGACAAACATAAATATTGTCAGTGATTTTCAGGAACTTGACAGTATTAAATTCTTATTTGTCATTGAGCCCGTCAAACTGGCAACCTTTATGGAATCGCGTCTGAAGTATCCTTTAGTCTGCGCATGGTCATTTTAAGCAAAAAATGATGTAACATACAAATTATGAAGGTACAATAACCATTATATTTTGCTCTCTTTCTTTCTCTCTCAGACTTCCATGTATACTTTCTTTGAAATTACCTAGAACGAAATGGCGCATTTTTATATCAAAGTTCCTTAGTTCAAACCGATCCACCTTGAAAAATGTATGAGAGCAATCAGTTTTCTAGCAATTTCTATATTGTCTTTTGAACTTTCGTAAAACTAATTTTTTCCATTAACGTTAACTATACAAAATAAAGTCCTGAGGTTGAGAGAAGTGATATTTCTGCGTATACTGGTTAATATTCAGGTACTCTGTTTTAGTTTACGGAGAAGTGGAATTAACCGATTTTCCCACTAAACACTTTTCAAGATGAATGATTTATTTGAATAAGATAAGCCAAAAACGAAATTAAACGACATCACAAACACTTAGAACAACCGTACATTTACTTGTAATACTGATTTCAATTTTTGGTTGCAATACTGTTAGAATGTGCACACAGGGAGATACCAATTCAACAAATAGAAAATATATGTGGTGATTCAAGCATGGTTGAAATAACGAATTATTTTTATATACCATGCCGTTATTTTTTACTTATAAATTTTTTACTTATTCCTAAATTGAATCACATTTCAAACATATGAGTTATGTAAAAGGGATGCATGCTGTTGCATCTTTTTACAGATTTTTACAGTGAAATGTACTTAACGTTGTACGTTCAGTGCAAACATGTTTGTATACCATCCAAGATATAATTCCTAAGGAAGATAGGTCCTTTTGTTCCAAACTTAATGGCAATTTATGTAGAAAGGATCCTGTGATGACATACATAACATTTTTGTGCTTATGTACAACTTGTATTTAGTAGAAAATGGTCTAAGAATGAAGATAGCCTCCTTTGTTAAACATGAGTCCAACTATCTATCATCCTATCGTGATAAAGTGGACACTAACTGTTCAAACAAAAAAAGCTATCTGAAGTGCTTGTAGCAGTGATGACTATAATGACTTACAGTTGTCATGATACAAGGTATAGTTAATGAATGGGGGACGATCACAATAACAGTGGATTATTACAATTCAACTCATAAATATTATTGTTGAACGTTCAGCTGGGAGGCACATTAAACATTATCATAATGTAACATGGTGGTGTATTATGTATTCTCGTACGTCTTCAGTCTGATAGGACGGGTCCACTTAAATGTACAGAGTTTTTGTTTTTTGTACAGGTTAAAGCACTTCGCTCAAGTCTGTTTGGTAACTTTATTGATATTGTTCCTGGTTTGGTATTATTTTCCGGAAGCCTTTGTTTGTATTGTAGACAGAGTAAGTTGAACATTTATGACAAAGAGCAATAGTTTCAGTTTAAATGTTTTCAAAGGAAGTGACAAACATTCAGATAAATGCATGCTTGTACGTTTAACAAGCATAGCATTTCATTTTCATTTTTTTCATTCGTAATTCCGTTTATAATGGATTTGGAGAACTTTATTTTCTTTTAGAATCTACATTTTGGTCTTCAAACGATTTCATTGCCGATGTTCTAGGCTAAGCATTTCATGATATCAGTCCAAATTATGACAATTCAGTCATTTGCAATTGTCTTCTTACTATTCATTATACTACTCCATCTAAAGTGAATTGTATCACGATATACTTATATATAATTACATCTGTTATTTTAAACATATACCTTCCATCTCTCGAATAAAATCTCGTTTATCAAAAGGTTGATATACCCTGTGTATTTGACCTCTATAATCAAGTATATAAAAAGTGAAAGCTCCTATTATCAGGTACGTTCATCTTACTGAATCTACGCTGTGATCATTACGACAGCTTTTTACACTCAGGCACCACTGACTGATAATAAACAACCATTTCTTCTTGTGTCAAGTAATTTGTACTGGAGCAGTACCATGAGGTGAACTGAAAATGGCTATTTTCCTCTTTTCAGTAGCTACGTGCACATTTATGCCAGAGGATTCTCCTGCCTGATATCTGACTTGAGCTTCACGAATTCTTTGGCGACCTCGTCATTTGTGCGTTGCGACAGAATCCTCAGGATAGTCCAGCCGGTCTCGTCCATTTGAATTCGCTTGCCTAGTGACAACCAGCAAGCACATGACCCCTGGAAAAGGTTCAACTTGGTCATAAAATATGCAAAAATATGATATAGTTATTCTCGCACGTATTCGGGCGTGCAAGCGATCAGAAAAAGATGGCCGTGTCGTTTGATTTACGAGCGATTATTCGTTTTATAGCTTCTTAGGACAAAACCCTGAAAACCCATAGCTCACATTGTGGCAAAAGCCTAATTCAGGACATGCCGAGTGTTGACTGGCATTTTCCTGCCAGCGCTAAGCGTCAAGCTTCGAGTGTCGAGCTTGGAGCATCAAAGATGGTCACGTGCCCTGTACATGACAAAATGTGTGAATTTCGAAGATCAAAATTGAGCACAAATATCTTTCAAAAACTAGCGATATTTGTTTTCTCTTCTTAGATGTACAATTATGTAAATATACGACCAGTTGGGCAAAAAATACAATTAATTGTTAATTTGGAAATTGGCAAAATTTTTTTAGGCTTTAGTAAACTCTTTTAACGGTAATCTCGAGCTTTCGGCATTCTATATGGAGCCATCTTCAGGAGCTGAAAACACAAATGTGATGCTAGCAACCAATACGGGAAGGATTTAAATTATCAGACAACTTACTCGTCGCTGAGGTTGCAGCCAAATGGTGTTTCAAAACGAACGCGTGGATCAGAGCACTTGTCACAAATATAAAACCAAAAGGACAGACACATTGGGTTTATTGATAATGACGGAAACCATCGTTAGGTGTTAACACTATATATAAATACACCCGAACACATTAAAAATTATCGAAAAGTAATTTTGGGGGAAAAACGGGCAAAGTTCCTTCTAACCTCCTACATATGTTTCACGTGGAGAAAATGAGCGAACCGGAATAGTGATGCGTCGACAGATAACAGGTGATTGTCGCGAAGGAATGTGGAAATGTAAACAGCGTTGCCAAAGTTCAGGTATAGTGTATAGGAGGGACTCTATGTAAAACCTCATCCTTATTCCCAAAATGCTGGATTAAATTTGTTCTGGAAAAGGGTGTTATTCATATGAGTATACGAGTGTAAGATGGTGAGACACGCTTGAAAAGATGGGTTGTATGAAAATATATTATAATGTATTATTACCGTGAGGGCAACATGTTTCAAATAACAGGATAAATAATTGGAAATGCGTTTTAATTTTGGGAGGACGTTAGATCAACTGGGATATGTAGACGTTCTAACTTCAACAAGTAAGAATAAATGACACTAAGCTGCTTAACATCATCCTTTTTATTCATGCAATGATCTGTCATGAAAATGTGGGATATTTCTAGAAATAGACGCTTTGAGAGTTGTTGTTCCTTCTCAAGAACCTTAATACTGCCATTACTCATAGAATGACCTGTGGTGTTAACATGTGATGTCAAAGCACATCTCTCTGGATGTAATCTGGCGTCACTTTTGTGTGAGGTTATCCTGCCTTTTAGTGATCTCGATGTTTGAGCTATGTAAACTAAATTACAGTTGCGATAGACAGTGTTGGTTGAATCAAGCAACTGAACCCTATACTTCATTTTGGAAAACACACTGTTGACTGTGAGAACTGATTTATAAGCAAAACGACAATTTGGGGAATTACACAGCTTGATCAATTTTGGAGTTAATTCTATGATGTATGGCATGACAACAGAATTAACTCTGGAAATAGAAGCATCCACCGTAATGCTGACATTCTCATTAGTTAAAGAATTAATGGGCGTCGGGTTGGACAGGACAGTGTTGTCATTATCAATATTGTTATTCGCAATTGGCAAAATATCAGGAGGAGAGCTGAATAGGATTCTGTTAACCAAATACTTCGGATAACCATTGTTCATGAATAAGACTATATATATATAAAAAAAGAAGATGATCCTGCGGAGAAAGGTACATAACAAAAAGTAGGAAAATAATGGACAAAATCCGTAAAAAGGAGGAAAGTGCCTTCGAGCAGAAAATAGGATAGGTAACCCGAGCGATACGTGTTTCTGCTGGTTGGCTTCATCGGGCCCGACATGAATGCACATATGAAACTACAAAAGTAGATTCACATACACACACATCCGGATACGGGTGTAACTTGAGGAAACGAAGATGGAGAGGAAAAAAGACGACACGCGAAGCACCACAACAAGAGCCAACCTACACCTTGTAGTATAAAATTTTCCATTCGAATCCACTTTCCTCCTTTTTGCGGATCATTTTCTCTTTGTAGATCCTTTGGGGTTGAAATACCACAGCACGTGGCTATAACCGGCCGTGTGGTTGTGGTTAGGATGGTCCTTGAAAATTCGAGGTCTTCTAGCCATTTTATACAATACAATATGTAGGTTGGCTCTTGTTGTGTAATTTTTTTCCCTGTCCATCATCGTTTCCTCAGGTTACACCCGTATCCGGATGTGTGGGCATGTGTATCTACTTTTGTAGTTTCATATATGCGGGCCTGATGAAGCCAACCAGCAGAAATACGTATCGCTCGGGTTACCTATCTTAGTTCCTGCTCGAATCCACTCTCCTTCTCTTTGCAGATTTTGCCAATTATTTTCCTACTTTTATATATATCTTCGTAGTATCAGTACAGTTTCGTATACTATCATTTTTTTCGGTGCCGTGAAACTTGTGAAGACCCTCCAACAGTATCACTTGTTGTGTAGTACGGTAAAATCATTCTGTATAATATATTGTTATTAGAAACTTGTTATTTATTGCAAGTAATATAATTCACCAGAAATGCTGCGCTAGGCAGATGAATGACCGAGGTGCCTTGCATTTCCTATCAATATACATTTTTAGATAGAATAAAGTTAACCATCTTGAAAAAATCTGTGCTACTAAGGGCGCAAACGCATGAAATAGATATCTATTACACACTATTCAAGTGGGATCGCATGTGCTTGTATCTTCATTCATACTGCATGCCCGTTTAGCTTTAAGTTCAATCACGTGATTTTTCTTGACACTCAAGTATTCAAGCTTGACGGTTGCATAAAACTGTAGCTCAACATCTATGACAAATGATACCCATCATGGATTAGGCGCTACTTGGCACATTCATTACGTTACTATTATAAGGTAGTGCTTACCTTTTCAACAATATCTTTAAGCTGCATCACAGCTACGCCCACGAGTCTATCTTCTCTTGCGAAGCAATAGTCTTTGACGCAGATATGGAGTTCATAACAGTCTAACTGTTCCTCATTGCCAATCATGCTGGAACAATAATAACTTTAGTTCAAATTTCTGTAATGCCAGCAAAATCTTACAACAAACGTTAAAAACGGAAAACAATTTTCGCCAAGGGTGTTAGCGAAAGCGTTTATTTTGATCACAATAATTTCTCTAAATTCGTGTAAGCTAAATTTACGAGCCATACAAAAAGAAGCGTCATGTAGATTGACTCTATACTTCCTACGTCCTCGTTGGAAGTTTCAAAGGAATCGAGTGACGAGGTATCTTCGATCTCATGGCAGATATAGGGAAAACATTGTGACTCAGCACGCAATGCCAACGATTGTAACTCATTGCGAATATGAGCATATTTTTTATCACTTAATTTTCCCGTTGTTACCGGGATTAGAAGCTCATTAATGATAGAACGTCTTTGACTGACACCAAAAGCGTAGCATTTATAACTAACTACCTACCCCCTCCAACCCACAATCCTGAATTTTCAAGCCCTACGAAATTTTGTTCGAAAATGACCAGGAGCCTGTAAAACGTTAAACAACGAAGTTTGAGCGATATTTAATTTTTTTCGTCTGCCCACTTCGGCGCCCCTTAACCGATTCTTAAAAACTATAAAGCCTTTACATTCTTGGCATACTAGAAACGTTTCGTAAATATTTTGTCGACATCCCAGCGGAACTTCTCAAGTTATAAACGGACCAATGATTAGCGGACAGACAGATAGACCGACGGAAATGAGTAGTAAAGATTTTCGTTCAGTGGCGTAGGAAGTAAAAGGCGATACTTACAAGTGGAATGTTTCATTGTACTTTGGTGACCAGTTGTTCGACTTGGATTTTGTCGCATGCTTCCTCTTCTTATCGGAGAGGTTTGGTCCAATTAGATTAACTTCCACGAAAGGTCTGAACATTCCGGATGGTACGTTCCATTTCAAATCGTTCGCTGCGACAACTGAAATAATTCAAATGCATTAGTTCCCTGATTTCCTAAACTTGTTGAAAATTATCAGTGAGTTTGAACAATGGTTGATCAAATTTTAAAGGCTCATGCTTCGTTACATTTTGCTGTTACTGTTTCTTTTACCTTTAACAGTGACCTTGTGCTCTCCAGTCCCAGGATGCGTGAACAGGTCAACCTGAATCGACACTTCCCCAACGCTTCCTTCTTGACCATCGATTGAATCTGGAAAACAAATAATTAAGATGTTATTACACGTAATCGAGTGATGCTACTGCTAATCGTTGAGTCCTTTACATTAATATAGATGTTTGCGAGAATTTTGTAAAATCAGCTTTACAGAAAATTCTCTGAAACTTTGATCAAGGAGCTCAGAATAGCTTCACCGATTTGCATATGTTTTTTTTATATACATTATTTCTAATTAATGCTATTCTGTGTCTTAGAACTATGAGCTCTCAGCTTGTGAGGTTCGAGAGTGTTTCAATGTTTCAGAGATTTTGTTACGATATTAAACAAATCATTGATTTAGTGCCAATGAATGGCAAATGTGACTATTCTATATCTATTATAGACTAAATGAGTTGTAAATTAACTATACACAGTGATCATAATACAAGTCTGCTTAAAAAGGTCTACGGGTTTCGCTATGGATTGCAAACAATCGGCTAGCTCATAATGTCTGCTATTTTTGAATACCATATTCAAGACTTTTACTTGGAATAATTTTTTAGTTACTATAGGATATGGAGTATGTTGAATACAGTGAACTGCTCTAATATGCGGTAAAATGGTATGCAACTACCTAAGTATACGAGGTCTGTAAATTAAGTGATGGAATTGGCAAGGTAATGTTCGATCTGGCAACACTGGAGGCGCCAGGATTGGAGAAGGGACAGGGGAACATGTGATCCGCCTTTGGTACAAGTTTGAACTCGCTCGAATCATTTGGTTGTCCGAAGCGATTTTTTTGTGTGACATTTTTGTCTATTGTGTTCTAAATATGACACTCTCGCTAAAAAGGCCTATGGAGATAGTGTTTTGGGACAGTCGAAAACATTTAAGCGGTTGCAACTGACCAGCTGCAGGCTATTGCAGTATTGGAGTTACAGCACTGCCATGAGGAGTCTCCAGCTCTGCGTGGCTTCAGAAGGAAGTTATTTTGAGGGTTACTATATAAAACTGTAATTATATTTGATGAAGAACAAATAATCCAGAAAATTCTCTCATTACTTATCCTTCAGACCTCGAAGAGTTAACACATTTGACGCCAGCCTAAGAAAGTCTAGGATACAAATGTTTTATTTATTTCAATACATTCCGCGTCAGGAAAACTTAATACACAGAACTTGTGACTGATCGCTAATTAACATGTTAAAAGAAGGTGTAGGTAGTATCACCCCTGATGACAGACAGGGCACCATTGGAATCAGGTTTATTATTTTAGGTAAGAATCCAAATGTTATACTTGTATCTTCATCTTGCAGCTATATAAACTAACATCAATTAAAAACTAGTTTCAAGAATTAAATGAGGCAACTGTACTCCAATGAAATTTTTCCGCGGGAGATTTTAGTAACATGTAGAACTTTTCCATAGAGACTTGTATTTTAATTTAATACTTATGTAAATGCATCAGAGAGATCGTTTACCTATTTTGGGACCCTCTGAACATACAAGGCTAAAATGTGGTTGATCTATGTTTATACTATGCTGAAATATGGTGTTAATTAAGGTTGTATATGTGGACATGCAGTAAGTCGCGTGATCGCTATAATGGTGTTTTTATAACCCTTTATGTGAAGTACTTCATTAATATAGTCTCATAAACTGTGTATATGAGCGAAATTTATCTACAAGTGATATCTATAGTGAGATTAATAAGTATATGTATGATAAAATCTCATAATTTTTGAACTATGAAAAGTTTATAGTAAGAATAGCTCTACGCATGGATAGCGTTGATTGCCTTGAAAATTTAAAAACTAATATCTAATAGCAAGCTGGAAAAGATATACTGAAATATTTTCAACGAACTAGTTAGAGGTTGGATACGATCACTTTTCTACTATGTATAATTAGCTGGTTCAAGGTTTTTTCAACGCGTGGAATTTTTTTAATTCACCAGTATATTTTGAATTGGAAAGTATGCTCGCACCACCACTTACGGATACATGAATATTTTGCGGAGTACCATATTGAGCCTGCGGAATAAAAGCCAATTAATTATTTCTTCTCACGAAACTAACAATTGACATCGTTACTTTTTACTATTTCTTGAACTAGGATTTATTATATCACAAACAAGTAACTAGCTTAACACCGACTACATCGACCATCTTGAAAGCTCGGAGCAGAATCATTTTTTCCGCGCATAGACGCGTCGAATAAGCAATGCTATCAGAACTTGAAAGTTCTATTCATAATATAATTTAACACATATCCATATAATTGGTTAGCTATGGATTTGCGCATGCTAAAAAGCGAGCAGACTCATTGAGGTAGTTCATGAAGAAAAATTAGTGAGAAAAACTTTATATGTGGGGAATTATGCTCATAATTGCGAAGTAATTAAACTAACTACAAAGCAAATCTAACCGCCAACCCCACTAATTGCTGCTGTTAAAAGAACGTCACGTTGAATCAAACTACTTTTAATTTCACATAATAACCGTATCCAACAACTAACAGAATCCTAAGTTTGTGCAACTAAAAATATGCGAATCTGCTTCTGCCTAACTGCAGCATATGAAAAAAGTCTGTCTGGATCGCTCCGACGGGCGACCAGTTGTACCTTGCTTCACTTCCATTTCTTTTTTCTTTTTGGCCTTCAGCGGCTCTTCCAACGCTTCTAACCCCGATTCGGTGTCAGATTCGTCCCGCATCGACAGTTGTCTTTGCATCATCGTCTCCGCATTGTTTAGCGGTACTTTTAGGGTGAAATATGAAGATCAAGGTCAATGTTCAAGTGTGTGGTGTGTGTGACATAAATAGGGTCTCAAGTCATCTATTCTACTAGACCAGTGACATGTTGATACCGCTGCCGAATCAATAATGAGATAAAACTGACTGAATATTCACTCATCTTCTTAGCTTTTCAAAGTTCACTCATTCAAATTCCATTTATGATGATGAAGAAACGTTTCTTGATGTAATTCGTTTGCTTCGCTTTCCATATTACCGGCTGTGATTATTAATTTATTCAGTTCTTTTATTGCTAGATAAGTGTCTTATATATACATGTTAGGAATATTCAGAGCATATTAATATTGGTCTAGTGGATTAGATGCTCTAAGAATTGGATTATCTATACTCTGTGGACATATGTTTGATGATGTGGCACATTGTACACGTAATGGAAAGTTTGTTGGAGAAATACAATAGGAACTTTAGGCACCCTGAATTGGAATTAAAGTCGAACTAAATTGCGAATTCGTAAACCTCAATTAAAACTTTTTGAACCTACAAACATTATTATCATCCAACCTAAGCTGAGTTATGGTGTGACGTATTGACTTAAGTATATCAAATATTAAATCGAAGAATAAATAAGTAAAATGTTAACCATTAAGATCATAAAGAACCAATTTAATGATTCAAGAATCATGGTAAAGGTTTTTGTCTATTACTTATTACCGAAAAATGCCAGATTAGATATAAGTGCCGTTTATTTATATGAAAAACAAAATAAAATGTATCATTTATGAGATTAGTATCCAATTAAATCATTAGTTTTCAGCTAAGTGTAATTTACTCACTGTTAGCATCAATAATAAATAAAAAAATGGAGGAAAGTATTTTCAGTGTGTCGATCATTAAATATACAGAGTACTTCAAAATCTAGTCAGGCTGTCCAATCGACAAAGCTGTTATGTTTCATTATTATTAATTACTTTTACCTCAATATACAAACACAACTTGGCAATCCCTTTGCGAGACACCCATTATGTTCATATCCACTTAATCGACAAATGAGTATTGTATATTGTAAGGGAATAGAACATGCGAACAGCGAATAAGGACCAGGTGACATTTATAAACACGTTAGCAGTACTAAACACCTACCTTCATTGATTTGAGTGGTGACGAAGGTCTTGATGAGCGTATCCGTCGTCTGGGTGTACAGAGACAAGGCGTACCTAAGGCTCTGCAGCTCAGGACTCTTGTCTAAGAACGCCTTCTTGAGACCATTGCCTCCAGCATGGAAGTACTGCTTGATGGTGTCCAGAGCGACTTCAAGAACGGCACACTGCTTTGGTGACAAGTTCTTTTCGAAGTCCTGGAACCCAGTTAGGGTACAACCATACATAGGGACGGGGACACATATTATAAATAAAAGGCGTTTTTCTAATGATGCAACAATGAAGAAGTATGCTTAGAAAACCTATTATGTAGTAGTTTTAAAACCCGCCATCACCGGAAAACCTTGCTAAGTCTTGGCTTTACGAAAGAGGACCAATTGTGCCAAAAAGAAAATGTACGTTCATTTAACGAAAAAAAATATATGTGAGTTTCAGTCCCAAACTTACCTTTGATATATCCATAACCCCGCTGAGAGCATTCTTGACGTCTTGCTTTCCAGTCATATGATTTTTAAACAGCCTTGACATGTCTTCAATCTTAGTGTTCGCTGCTAAGTTCTTAGCATTGTCTGTCAAACTCTTGAACATCATCTGTAGATGGATTTTTACATGTTACCAACGCACTGAATTTTGGTATCCTAAGTTCAAGCTGTTACTATTTCAGCGCTTTCGAAATCTGCTTTTAACAGCAAAGCAATGTTTCCAAAATAAAAAAAAACTATAAATTTTAATCATCATGAGTTTGGATGACAGCAGCGAAGTAGAAAAGCATATCCCATGTGAGTTATTAACCAGTGTCCAGTGAAAAAGTCAACACTTCAAAATTGAATTACGCGGCAGTCGTATACGCGAGGAAGTGGGGCGAGGTCTTGATAGACGCGTTCGGCGTGCGGGTTAAATAGTCACAAGGGAACGTTGGACCGGGGCGCAACGTGCTTTTGCTATCGAGGCTTACTTCAAGAAAAGAGGTTCCGTGAAACATGCTCTACTCTAAGTAAACCAATTCCTGGCCCCACACCTATTGTATTAACCGAAGAAAACGTGCGTCGAGTAAGAGATTCGGTTATTGCAAATCCTCGGCGGTGCTCTGTACAGAAGCATTCCGCTGCTTTGGGAATCCCTAGGTCAACACTGCATGGCATAATGAAGAAAAAATGAGCATTCATCCTTAAAAAGTTCAAACAGTCCATGCTTTAAATGAAAGTGATTACGTATTACGGAAATATTGTGCTGAACGGATGTTGAATATTTTTCCTACGCAGCGCAGACTCAAGACCCTTGTTTTCAGTGACGAGGCCCATTTTCACGTAGACGGTTATGTGAACAAGCAAAATTGCAGATATTGAGCACCCACAAACCCAAAAGAGAACCATCAGCAACAGCGGCATAGTCCAAAGCTGACTGTTTGGTGCATCATATCCTCTAGCGGTATTATTGGGCCGTATTTCTTTGAAGATGAAAACCGTCATGCACGGACAGTCAATTCCGAGCGATACAAGGACATGATTGACACTTTTTTTGCTCCTATTGTGAGAGCAGAACGTCAGCTTAACAGAAACACATGGTTTCAACAGGATGGGGCAACTTCCCATACCTCCAGAGAATCGATGGACACGTTGAAAGCAAATTTTAAATCGAAGTTTGGAGACATTCACTGGCCTTCTAGATCCCCCGACTTCACGCCATGCGATTATTTTATTCCAATAATTAACGAACACTGGAGAAGCTTAACATTCGACGAGAAATAAATAATATTACTCCGGAACTCTGCAAGAATAAAACCGGCCGAATTGACGAATATGTTGATAGTAATAAATATTTTCTCTTCATTAAGTTTTTTTCTTAAATCAAAAAGTTTACTTTCCCACTGGACACCCTATATTCCTCTATATTTCATTCTGTACCGTTGGCACTTAAACAAGTTGATGTTACCTTTGACAACAGAAAATTATTCATCCTCTGAGATTACTACAGTATATTCAGATAAGAGATAGACCGGATGTAAACAAAAGGTTCGGGTGATTTTCACGCTAACGTCGCCGTCTCAAAATGCCCAGTAGTACAGATACTGCCGATGAAGTTGTAAACTCCTGTAGTCCACCTAGGAAACGCTCTAAAAAAAGACACCTGAGTGCAGAAATGAAAGAGGTCATTTTGAATATACATAAGATCGAGCGCGAGGAGAACGAGGCATCAACCATCAAAGAAATTGTTGTGAAGGTTTCTCACAAAGTTGGGGTGTGTCGCGCATCAGTGTTTAATGTGTTAAGACAATACAAAAAAAATCACACCTTTTCTGAGCCAATGACCAGTAAACATCGCAAAAGTATTGTTAAATCATTGGATGAAGCTGATAAGCATGCGATTAGGAGGAAAGTGCATTAATTCTTCTTTAGGAATGAAATACCTACTATAGATAAAGTACTGCAGGAGGTAAATGGAGATACAACGTTGCCAAATTTCAAACGATCAACTTTCCATGCGTTACTGAAGCATTTAAATTTCAAATGGAAAAAACGGGGTCGTAATAGTTTACTACTGGATAGAGAAGAAATTGTGCTATGGAGGAGGGATTATTTAACAAAAATTGGGAAATATAGAAATCAAGACAGGAAGATTTAATACCTTGATGAAACGTGGGTAAACGCAGGACACACTACAAGTAAAGTATGGGTTGATGATTCTGTAACTTCATCCAGGAGGGCCTTTCTAGATGGACTGTCCACCGGATTAAAAAATCCAGCAGGTAAATACGAGTAATAGACAACAATCGGATGTTTTTCAAACCTTGGGAACAAGGTTCTATACATTAATTCCAGGGGGCAGATAAAACATATTACAAGTAACAAAACTTTTATAACTTTCGATAAAATGTGTGGATGTTTTATTGTCATTTTCATTTGTTAGAACTTTTTTAAGCCATGTTTTTATGTGTTTTCGATATTTCAATAATTTTTTAATATAATCTTAAAATATGTCGAATATTATAAACTTAAAAAAAGTTACTAAGTTTTATATTGTGTACCGTTCCTAATATTTCTAATCATTTTAATTCATACTTTAAGCTTTATAAAGTTATAATTTGTTAATATTAATATTTGCGCGTATTTCAGGTTCCTGATCATTCATTTTTTAAAGGTTTATAACTTTAAATTAAATTGTGAAGCGCTGAGTAATCATACGACGTTCAATATTCTTTCTTTCAATATGACTAAATAATCCCAATTATAGCAATCTGATACTCATGTCTCAATGTTTTTTCGCTGAATGTGATGAAAACATTTGAAAAAGGTTCGCTTATTGAAATAAATCTACACCAGTTAGTACTTCGATTTCCAGGTAAAGGGAAAAGGCTCATTATCTGCCATATTGGCAGTGAGGATGGATTTGGTGTTGACGGTCTGTGGTGCTTTGAGTCTAAGAAAACTGGAGATTACCACGAGGAAATGAATGGCGAATCGTTTGAACAGTGGTTTTCAAAAATTTTACCGAACTTAGAGGAAAACGCAGTAATTGTGTTGGATAATGCGCCTTATCATTCTCGAAGAATGGAGAAGGTCCCAACAACGGCTTCAAGGAAAGTTGATGTTCAAAATTGGCTCCGCTAGAAAAATATCAACTTTGAAGAAGCAATGCTGAAAGTACAATTATTAAGAATTGTCAAGGATCACAAGGCGGAATATCAAAAATACGCCATTGACGAAATGGCAGCAAGTCAAAATAAAACTGTGCTCCGTTTACCTCCATACCATTGCGAGCTCAATCCCATTGAGCTCATATGGGCAGAGGTTAAAAATTATATAGCTAAGCACAATGCAACTTTTAAATTTTGTGACCTCAAAGGACTTTTCAAAGAAGCACTAGAATTAATAACAGCGCAAAAATGGGAAAACTGTATTAAGCACGTGAAAGACAAAGTTGAAAAGAGAATGTGGGAACTGGACAATATTTTAGAGGAACAAGTCGAGCCATTCATTATTGACGTTGGTGCTTCAGGCAGTAGCGATGATGAAAGCTCATCAAGCTCATCTTTCCAATAAAAGATGTCGTTCATCAAATTCAGTAAGTTATAAGTAATTATAAAGCTACTGTATTTTTTAATTAATTATTGACATTTTTGAACCCATTTTGGCAAAACCTATTCAAGAATCTACTTTCTGACAATGTTCAACCATGCACATTTTTTTACGTTTTGAACGTTTTAATTTGGTTACATATTTACCTAGAAATCAAAAAATATACTAATCAATATTCTAAAAGCAATTTTAAGATATAGACGATTATTTTTAATTTTAGGCTAATTTAAACGCCATTTTGAGATTATATTCGACTGTATTTCACCAAACATCAGGCGGCATCCGAAGCTGGAAATCGAAGCGAAAATTTTGAAACCCTTATGTATATTTACATCATTATATATTTCTTACCCCACCCCCACATGATCCTATATCCATCACCAATCGTATACACATCGAATTGTGCTAATTTACTACAAAGTTACGCAAAGCAGCATCTACTATCTAAAATATGTACTGCGTGACTCTTAATACGTCCCTGCCGAATGTTACAGCGTTCGATGATCACGTGGTCTTGTTTATGTCCGGTCTATCTCTTATCTGAATATACTGTAGACCTTCTCGTACGTCCACTCGACTTAAAAGCTACACGCAATTTATAAAACACAAAGAAACAGAAAATCAATGCTAGAGATCCTTACAGTTTTATCAGTCATAGGTGGAAGTACAACAGTTTTCTCCAATATCCTCATCACTATCTTCCATAGTTCTTTCAGCAAACGTTTCAGCACCGTTTTCTCACATGATTGAGCATATAATGACAGGGAACCATCTAGGAGGTCCATCAGTGGTCGCAACACCTGAAACGTAAATAAAAAGAGTAGTACAAGATGCTGCCTGGCTACGTTGTAGTTCTAAACTCTATTTACCTCGTCAGCCTCAGCTGCAACAGCTCCAGGTGGTTGTGCAGCTCCAATAGTATGACCGCCTCCTTTAATAGCTGACAGTAGGTCGGATAACTCCTTCACGCTAGCTGTTATTCGAGGCTCCAAGCTGTAATTTTTTAACATTACACATTACGTCGAAACGTATGCAAATATACTAACTTGTAAAATATATTACACAATAATTACTCCTCTTCTAGACATCAGAAAAGAGTGATATAGCCTAATAGTAATGTGGTTAACCTTACCTGCATGCAAACTGGTGAGCTAGTTCATCTAATGAACCATTCAGTGTTTGCTGCAACTCATTCAAGATGTTAGCTGCGTCCTGTTCTAACCTGTCACCACCCATAGATTCAAACATCTTTTCTAACTGAACCCTCAGTTGTTGGATGTTGTTCATCAGTATGCAGGCCTGGGAAAAAATGGGAAAATTAGTGATGAATGAATGGAAGGGAAAGTCTATCATTACCGTTTTGGATAGAAAAGACATATCGTTGTTGCTAGACAGTCAAGTGACTGAAGCTCATCGTGAAATTAGGGACAATTACTGCATTACTGGAGAATTATGATAGCTTCGCTCTTGTAGCAATATTATGACTTTTTTATTGCTGTGCATTAAGCTTCTGTAATCTGAACCATAGTAGTCCTGTGGGACGTAGGTGCTCCTGTAGCAACATCAAAATATGGAATGCGGAATCCAAGTTCCGATTGCAACATACGCAGGTTGGTTGGTTATCATTGGAAGCATTATTTTAGAATCCATCCTACCATGGCTGACGTATCCGTATCAGGTCTGTTATGATTAGAGATAAATAAATTGTGTGCTCTAATATACTGGTTGGTTCTTCTACTCAGAAGCCATAGTTTCGGAGTCCAATGTGACAGTGTTCTGAGCTGATGCAGCTAAATGGTCAGCTGACATCGACTTTTACACGCCATAGCTTCTAGCTCTACATCGCAACATCGCTGGTTACTTCACAATCTCAGAAGTCATAATTTTAGAATCCAATGTGATAGTAACTCAGGTCTATTATAATTGGAGATGACTGGATCAAAATGACCAATCGAGGTGCCCAAGAAGGACCTCAATTGATACGTAATTTCTACGCACCATAGCCACTAGCTCCCCCCCCGCAACTTACCGAAGTTGGTCTTCTATTTCAGAACCGTTTGTGTTTTCCTATGGCTACACTGTGACTAACGTAAAATAACAGAACGCACGGGTATTACGTATCTTGAAAAGTAACATTATGTCGACTTTTTTACATTATATTGTTTTTTTGTGACATTATGAAGGTTTTTCTACAAGATGTTAACTTAGCACTAGCTGATGGACACGTTTTGAACTCGTTTTGTAGTTGTACGTGTTGCCTAAACGTCATGAGGCTTCAGTTATCAATGTTTCGCTCTGCTGTGATGTAAAATCTGCTTCAGAGATGGCATTACTGGAGGTAACGGCAATGCATATGTGCATAGCAATCATTTGTGAGCTGATAATATGTGTTGATGATAATTCCATTGGATTCTTGTCTCAAATAGCCTTATTTGCGATTCAAGACTATAAATTAGTTGCGCATTCACTTTTTCTTAACCATTCTGGAAATTATATATGCAAATTTGCTGAATTTCAAAAAAGACAGAGATAAGAAATAATTATATTCACTGTACACTGTCATATACATGCTAATAGTAATTACACACAACGCGGGCGCGGTGGTGATTCCCCGTAGCTCTCCTCAAAGTTTTTAAAACACAAAAAAACGTATAATTGTAATTTATAACTTTGAACGTAACCTGTCCTCCTGTAACATATAAATAACAGGCGGGAACAGCTAATAGATATACTTCATTGGCAGCACATTGAATAATAATTTTCTCATACAGCAAATATCATTGATTTTATGCACATGCATACCAATACACACAATCATCCAGATGTGATCTTGCTATTTAACCAACTTTCTTCTCGTCTTCACAAAACATATGCAACCAACAAGGCGTGTAGTTGAGCTACTCCTCCATAGATGGATGCTCCCAACGATCCTACGTGAGCAAACGTGGAATGACTGTTTACATCCTAAAAACTAGCTAGTTTGCAAGATGACATCTTATAGGTTTTTTTGACGTTTTATAGGTTTTTACGTAATACCCGTGCCGTAATAATAAATAACTGGAGGTGACCTGAAGGCCAGCTTCAACCACGACGCCCAGGAAAGGAGGAAAGACTTAAGTTGGTTACGTGATTTATTTGCGCTATAGCCTCTAAACCTCCATCTCAACATATATTCTCTATCTCGGAATTAATTATTTCCGAATCTAAGGTAGTGCTGATGCAGGTCATCTGTACGGAAACTCCATGATTGATATAAAATCTCAAATCCATTACAATTAGAAGTGACAGTTCTAAAAGACACCTCGAGTCGAAAAGACCTCAGTTCCTCCATCGCAACATACGCAGGTTGGTTCTCTATGGCAGACACTATTATTTCAGAATACATACATTATGGCAACTCTATGCTAAGTCCCTTGATGATTAGACCCATTATAATTAGACATGACCAATCTACTCCAGTGGAGACGTACAAAAGACTTCAGTTGATCTTCTACATGCCTCTATTAATATAGTACTGAATCGTAGCAAATTTGAAAACGGGGATAGAGAAACTCCAAAGATAACTTACTATCCTCTCTTCCTTCAGGTGTTCAGGGAACTCCTTCTTGACAATATCGGCATATGCGATGAGGACTTTTACGATGGTCTTGGCGAATCTTTTCATGTAGCGTTTCCATATTTCCGGATCTGGACACTCCAATTTCGACACGACATCGAAGCACTGCGTCAACTGCGTGAACACGTCTACTACTGAGTTGGAGAACAGCGCGTGTTCGCTGCTCTTTTGGAACTAGTTGGAAAGATAAAAACATTTAGATACCAATGAACAATTGAACAGTTATTAAAAAATCATTAACAAAGATCGCCCAAATTTTTCATCATTTAAAATCACTGAATTCCAAATTCTTAAGTATGGTGGGAAATGCCATGATATGAAACTGTTGAATTCGCAGTTCAACAAAGTTCGAATTGATAATTGGTAGCTTCAAAATTAGTATAAAAGATATTATGAAGTTTATACTTACCCCATCCTTTTTGTCCCTATTGAATGCTCCATGCAGATATTCTAAGGAAACGTCGTCATTCTCATTCAACCACTGCATCACGAAGGGCTCAAACCATGAAGGATATTCTGGCACTGAACCTATAGGTAATAGATGATATTATATTCATTAATTATTAAACGTTGTAAGAAATTTGTGTAAACACAACATGGATGTCTGTAGTGTGATAAAAGAGACAATTTGTTCACAGTAAGGCACTGAATTTTTAGCTCTGCTTTTGAGAAAGGTATGTGGCACGTGGGATCAGGATATATACAATTGTAAAAGAAAAATGTAGAGATGTATTTTGCAACGTAATTATATTCTTGAGAGTGAATGCAAAGGCCCATTATCTAGAGATACAAAACATCTTACAGAATTTGTTTTTAAAAGGAGAGTTGTATGGGTGCAAAGACCTCCAAAATGAAGCATGAGATATTCAATTTCTGTAGAAGTGATGCTGTTGTTGCTCATAAGTAAATCATAATAATAAATAGCAAACCTTTATATGGTGGTACATCTTTCACGTAGTTGGTATACAGCCATTTGACTTTGAAATGCAGGTTCATATAAGCTGAGGATTTGCACAACCGATGTTGCTCGTGTTCTTCCAAGGCATATTTCATGTCCACTGCGAATAGACTCCACATAGTCGCAGCGGACAGCTGAAAGCACAGATTATATAGTATTGAAAACAACATTCACCAATTTTTAAAATGAATATTTGGAATTAAAGCATTTTATATGGCACGCTAAGCAACATTTTCTCCTCATTATTTTCTTAATCTAACGAACAGCTCAAATTGTTTATTTTGAGTAGTAACGTTCATGCACAAATCTACATTTAAACTTCTGCTTGCCAAAAAACATTAACTTGACTTGCTTCCAAATTGCTAAAAGCGTTTCAAACTTCAAGTTGAGTGAGGAAATTGTGTCTGTTGCCAAAATTATACAGAGTTTATACAAGTTGAACTATATCCTCAGACTGTAATGTGTCACTTACCTGGCCAATATTGAGCTCTTGCGGAAATTGGTTGAGTACTGGCCCGTAGCTATTTTTATCTTCTTCGATCACAGATACGATGAGCGCGATGAGCTTGTGCCAGAAGTCGACGCTGTCCAGATCCTGAGGATTCTTCTTTGGTTCATTCGGATCACTTTGGAACTCTCTGTTGTACAGTTCGTAAGTGTTTTCAAATAAAAATTGATACGTAGATCTGAAACAGTAGAGGTTTATAGTTATTATGGGAATGATACCAAAGTCGGTGCATCGCAAATAGTGGGAAAGCCAAAGACTGTCGCTATGAATTGGTTACCTTTGTGATGGATGTGGTAATGGGATCTATCATGGAATTTGGCTATCTGAGGGTTAGAACCACTGGTCACGTTTAGACCGTAGGTAAACAATCGTGTGTATATCCATTTACACTGTGTGCTATGCGTGGCTATTTACCATATAAGTGCTTGGCTACTTGTAGTGTAAGGATAGGCATTAATTCTGGCTATTCGTCACGACCTTTTGGGTGTTGGTATCGTACAGTGTCACCTTTTGGAGGCCAATTTTGGTAAAATGATAATTTTCGTTGAGTTTTAAGCAAGCAGTCTGCAGGGGATGCTCATGCAAGTGTTGGGGGTTCACTAAAGACCAGTATCGGCAATTTTGTTTATTGACGTATCTATGTAAATGAAAAAGCTCTTCATGACTCATGTCATCGTTATCCAACTGTTCAATCATAAGCTGTGCAAAATTAACACGTCGTGCATGATCCCCTGGTAACAGTTGTTGACAAACTTGGATTTTGTAAGGATGGAACACTAAATTCTTCTTCAAGATGTGACGTACAGAGGACGCGTGGATTCATAGGGAACTGGCACGCAAACGGACGGAACGATTCGGGCTTTGCAGCGTGCCAACTCTCTCAACTGTGTCTACGTTTTCGGGGAGTCTAACAGTACGGTTTCGCCCGCTGTGTCGAATGCTTCCACCCATCTCAAAATGCTGTTACGGTCTGGTACTATCCCACGACGTGGAACACGAAAGTGAACGCGAAACTCACGTTGCGTTGAAACGACAGACTCGCCATTTTGAAAGTACCGACGTAAAGTGAACACACGATGCTCAACGTTGCAAGCCATCTTGGCAACTGAACTTCCCCCACTATCCGACACACCCTTCCTTACCGACACGGGGCCAGCCCACTCGATGTAGTACCCATTCGAAAAACAAGCGTTCTTTCTGACGGACCCAAGCCAAAGGCATCATACGTAACTTATCGAACTACTACACAGAGAAAAAATCTCCTTACCTTAAGCATGCCTTGACGCAGTCCTTGACGACGGTGCTGGCTCTGGGCGGGCAAGCCAGTTCCTGCACCTTCATACGAAAAAACGTGATACTGGTCAGTAAGTCCACCGTGGATTTCAGATCCATCAACTTTTCGGGACTCGACGCAGGGAAGTTGTTGCGGTACATCGATAGATCTATGCGGAGGGAGTTGTGCAGTTGATCCAACAGTTTCACGAACTTTTCTTTCTGCAATCAAATAGTGTTTCATGATATTTTGTAATAAGGTTGGGGGTCACATCAAGTGTGAAAGTCAGTTGGTCCGCTTTCGATGTAAAGAATTCGACCAAGCTAGAATAGAGGAAAAAGCCGGGCAAATTCGTCTGGAAGGCCTAGGAAGCGACGGAATTACGGAGGATAGCCTAGGGGATCAAAGTTTCTTGCCATATCGGTAGGAGGGAGGCAGATCGCTAGCTGTTCGTCGATGAGGGTACATCAAATCTAAAGTAGTATTACTGCATATTATTACAGGCTAGATTTCATCAGGGCCTTGTATAAGCTGAACGAGAAGCATGCCTGCTAGCTCCAAACCTGTGGTTCATTGAGGATTGAAATGTAAATCTATTAATCGCCATGGATATCTTACAACTCAGAACATCGAAACGAAAAGTTTGCCCAGGAAAGTAGCGGGATATAGTTTAGTCCGTTGTAGTATTTAGAACAATTGCGTCAGGCTTATCAAACAGCTGATCGCGGCAGCAGAGTAACAGACTTTCAAATAAACTGCTTGCTGAATTATTTGTCTCGTTAACAATTAAGGATTGATCGTGGCCACATATCAACAGATGCATCTCACAACTCTTTGTTTTTTAGGTATGCTCTTCTGCAAGATTCATAGTCTCCAAACGACATACATTTCGCTTCACGTAAGAGGGGTTTTGGAGTGGCCGTTATCAATATTTTCTGCATATATCTGTAATTGTTAGGATTGGACTTTACAGCTGAGGATTGTATGGATGGGACTTTTGGGGGTTACGCTAGAAACAGGTTATTAGAGTTTTTGATACAAGCCTACGTTAGATGATAGGCGAAAAGAAAAAATATTTTGCTAATTATAAAAAAAATGATATTTTAAGCCGCTTTTTAATTAACGTAAATTCATATAACCTTGCGTTACTAATAAAGGCGAAAGTAATATTTATTTCGAAAGTTTTGAGTAATAAATTTCGTCATGAATATTACTAACAGAATTTTACGTCGAACCAGTGCTGCTACTATCACGATGTTCTGAATTCTAGCGTGTAACCAAATATTACTACTGGGTAACTTCCACGTCCCCTGTGTCATTTCTTATGCGGAATGGGAGACCATAACTAAAAACGTCCGCAGTTTTATTCCGTCGTTCACCCGCATTCACCAATAAAAAAGTCATATGTGACGCTGATGTCAACAGCCCTTCAGATGAATGCGAATCTCAAGGGCAGTAGGCCAATACATAATATATTATATCAACCTTACCCCAAAATTGGAAGCAGCAAATCTGTCGCTTGCCGAGACAGCTGACAGGGCCGTTGTGTGCGCATAGTAGGCGTTGATATTGGCTAGAAGCATACTCATCACAGCTGGAACTCCGGGACACAGATACTTTGTAGACAAGCAATGGAAGTGCCTAAAAATAAGGGTAAGGTGTGATGTACAAAATACCATGCGACAGGTAAATTTGTATGATGATCGTCGATTACTTAACACTGATTTTTGTTGTATGTATTTGAAATAGATAAAATCAGGAAGGCAAAAGTTCTGGATCGTTGAAACATTTTGAGAGGATTATAACACAACATGTTTGAATTAGGATTATACATATCCCAATTAGCGTTGGTGCTTGCCAAATGTTACTTTTATTTAAAATAATTTTTTTTTCAGTTTTTTGTATCACATTGATCTATTTTTATAATATCCACTGCCATCTGTTTTTAAAATTTATTCTTGAACGACACTGTATAAACCAAAAAATGACAATAGAAGACGATCAACTCGTTTAAACCACCAGGGAATACAATACTGCTTTTTTCAATGGCTCAAAACTAATGTTTTTGAGAAGAACAAATTGTTTCAATATAGTTCCTATCAGTTTACACTGTAGTGGATCCCCAGTAGCTCCACAAAAACCTGAAACTTTATTTATTTGAAAATAGATATCCTATAGTTCTTCAAGTCGTTAGTCACGAATCTGATGTCGGAGTTACTAAACAGGGTGTTCATTTGAAAACTTTTCACCACGGATTTATCGAAAACCACTCTTTCACCCTCTGCTCCCCAGAGTCATCTCTTTAAAAATTTTAATCGACAAGGGGTAATGAGTAATAGCTTGTTTGGAAGGTGTTTCGGAGTCCTTTATTTTGAATTGATTTTTTAAAATCAGTCGATTCGCTTTCTTTATCTTAATTTGTTCAGATAGAAAACAAAAACACACGACAATAAAACTTTTCATTCCATTAAATGTTGCTAGCTATTGGCCAACCAATGATATGGGCGATGTTCAAATTCCTGACGAACATTTTCAGAAACATGTGGGATATCATGGCAGAGTTCGATTATGCGTTGTTGAAGTTCATCCAAAATTTCCGATTGAGGAGTAAACACAATAGATTTCAAATGTCCCGATCGAAAAAACTCTAATGGCGTCAAATCAGGAGATCTAACAGGCCATTCTATAAGTTTTCAAATGAACAGTCTTTATGTATTTTCTAAGTGGTGGAACGAATACACTAGTCAGACGAAATTTATTGATTTCTACTGAAACAAACGTGTCCTTCTCACATCATTAATGTCAAACATGTGTGTATTTTTTTCAGCCCAACGATCAGCTTATTCAATAATGTCATTGTCGGGACACCACTATACAGGGTGTAAAGAGTATAATATGAAAAAAAAAATGCGTTTTATGTCCGTCCCTGCTGAGGAATCAGTTGATTACTACTCTTAAAATTTCGTTGACTGTACAGTGTCATTCCATATCTCTTTTAGGTAAATCGATTACCAGTAGTGTAAATCAGATTCATCGATCCGGATAACTATAAGATATACATTTCCAAACCACTTAACCAAGTTTTAAATTTTTGTCGCTATTTGGGGTATGCCACAGCGTAAATTTAGCAGGTCAGTATGTAAATAAGTTCATTTTTCTAATTATACTGGCTCATTTATCTAAATCAAATAACACCTTCTTCAAAGAATTACGTTTCCAAGAATTATTAGTTTTAAGCTACTGTAAGAAATCAGCAATGTTGCTCCAATGACTCGATCCTTGATCTGAATGCGCTTTCCATGGATACCATCTTGTGGGACCCCAACTGTTTATTACGCTGTCAAAATTCAATTAAATTATTCAATATTGTTGTTGTGTTGAAAAACCCATTTATAATGGCGATCTTTCAGACGAATGTGTCCTCATAGGGTAGTTGCGTATTAGAGTAATCAGCTTTTGGCGTTATTTTTCGTGCTGTATGTGCACCCGAGAA